AGAAAATAGAAAACTAAGTAAATGATTTTCTCCTTCTGGTAAATATGTAGATAAAATGACTGCAGTGAAACAAATACCATCTTTAATTTGGGAAAACTGTGCTGCATTTTGTGACATGCTCTTAGAAAATGTGTGAAAAAAGACAACGTGCAAAGGCTGTGCGATGAAGGGTCTTCACTGTTTTAAAAGTTGTTTTGCAAGAGCACCAGCAAAATTAAGTAGTCTGCGCTCAACAGGTAGAATTACACAACCTGCTTAGCTGGACATTTTAACATGAGTGTGGTATTTTTTTAAGAAATATGCTGAATGTACAGAATTATTTGTCTTGTAAACTTTTGTACTTGTACTGTAAATTTTAGATTGTCCATTTCTCCATGTGACACCTGAGTTTCTCCAATGTGGGAGAATAGTACATTTCTATTCTATTCTATTCTATTCTATTCTATTCTATTCTATTCTATTCTATAAAAGTACTGACATGACTGTGTATTTCAAAACATCCTGCAAATTATATGGCTATGTAAATTAAAATGTACTGCACAAACCTATATGAAAAATAACAGGAGTACAGTTTTACCTCATTTAACTTCTAAGTCCAGAAGTGTCCTTGCTTCGCTTGTGTGTTAATCAATGCATACGCACAGTAGTAAGCTGAGTGTTGAATCATTAACTGTAGGAAATAGATCATTAAAAGTTCAAACAGGATCTGGGTTAAACACACAGAGTGAACATTATACCCTTTAAAAACTTAAAAGGTAAGAAGCAGAGGACACAAAGTCTATGAATACCCTAATGAGTTTGCTACTGCCTTAAGGGTCAGCATTGCATGTCCACTGAAGAAAAGCTGAATTGAGTTGGTCGCTGGACATTTACATTTCAAAGATTTGCCTACATGTTTAGACAGCAATCTGGGTTAGGGATTGGACTCTGAGAACATAGGTTCCAGCAATCAGCAGCTGTTTTCCAGGACTTCCTTTAGAGTATTACCAAATGGATATATTTGTATCCATTCTGAAGGGAATTATTAAAAAAACAAAACAAAAAAATTCATGCTGCCATTACAGGAACAACAAACTTACATTATTATTTAACCACCACTATAAGATCTCAGCTTGCACACTAGTAAGTTGATCTGCACCCATTACACTCAATATGTCTGAACTAAATGTACATTATATGTAGTTCATGCATAACCTTTGAGCCACTGACACATTCCTGCCTCTGGTCACTTGCTCTTTAAAATAAAGTTGATGAGACCTTTATCGCACGATGACATCACCCCATTTCAAACTAAACGACAAACAAAATAAATGAGTTCATTGTGTAAAGTTTAATTCCAACAATTGTCTAATTTCCCCAAGCATTTTATGCCTGAACTTTCAGTCAGTGTGCTCATCAACGGAGAAGACACTGCCTTTCAAAAAGTACATAACAAGGATTTGTCATAGAGTCAGTGGCATGCAAAGCAGCTCTTGTTGGTCAGGAAGATGTTTCTCAAACACTTTACCCTTGCTCTCAATTTCTCTGAAATCATGTCCTAATGATGACCCAAGGCCCACTTTTAATCACTATTTGCATCGCCCTTTTTAACAATCATTCCACTTTGCTGCACAATTTTAACTGTGGAAGCATGAGATCCACTGATGAAGTTCTTAGTAAACACAATCATTCGGGGTAATATTAGTTCTCCTCAGCGTATGACAAATTCTGATGAAACCACGCAAAATTTTAACTGACCCTTCGATGACTTCCCCTTTCTTTTCTGTATCATATAAAGCAAGTTTATTTCTACAACATCTGTTCCCAAGTATGATGAAAGGAAAGTTCAAGCTTCACACAAACCCTTTTTGTTCTTGAAAAAAACGAGAAAATGCCACTCATTCCCACTGTTACGAGACCTTACAAACTCTGTGGCCAAGGAGAAAGCAAAGCAAAAAGAATCCAGAAACAACAATGACTGACAAGTAGATACATACACTTTTTGACAAAATTAAACTAACACTTCATCCATCATCCAGTTTCTGTACTCGTATTGGCCTGTTCAGGGTTATTAGTGAAGGCTAGAGGCTTTCCCAGCAAAGAGATAGGCTACAGCCTAATCAAAATGCCAGTCTATCACACCACATTTCAATACGACACTAAAATATACTTTCTTAAGTGATATTGTGATTTATATAACTATTTCTGAAGTAAGTAGAAAGCATATCATTGTTTATTGATAAGAGTCTCTATAAAAGATAAAGCAAAGGGTGCGTGATCTTTTCAGATTTTTAAGGGGGTAGTATGATGTGTGTAACATCTCCCCTTTTGAAAATAAATTCTAAACTCAGCAGAAACCATCGCGATGAACATTTTTGTACTCAGGTTGAAAAATAAGTTTCTACTGCTGCAAAGCTTCAATGATGTTTGAATAATCTGCATGTGAATAATAAAGTAGCCTTCAAAGCTTATGTTTTGTTTTTTTGGGTGTTTTCTTTTTTCTTTATGGGTCACGTTATTAATAGCCTAATCTTTCTTTTTTGCTTTAAATACAGGATGAAATATTTTGACAAGTCCACAAGGGGCCCCAGCCAAGTAAACATTTATTTTAATCAATCATTTGACAGTGAACTTAGTTAACGCTGCACATTTCTTAGTGACTCTGAGATCACCATGAGCGTGCTGCTGCTGCTGTGAGTCCATCTGTATCTGTTTTGGATATTTATGGAGATTTTTGATTTTTTTTTAAACTATCAACAATAATCCTTGCGTTTGCCCCTGCGAGTGAACAACTAAAACTGAAGCGATCGATCGCTACCCCCTGAAGATTTTGCGTTTTGGAACAAGCAGTAGGGAAACAAATGGAAGCAAAGTCAGATGAACAGCTGTATTGAGATAAACCATCACCCCATATGCGGAGGAAAAACATTCTCTGCGCATTATGGAAGCTGAAGATGAAAAAAAAAATGCTTAATCAACTAACATTGATATTACTTCTGGCAATTAGGAGCATGCTGGTAATGATATGAGTTTTCAGCTGTAAATAATTATGCTGCCTGCGGGCCATGCTTTAATTCTCTGCTGTATCTATAAACAATAATCAAACCAACAGCAGCAGGGCTAAAAGTTGGAGATTTGCGATTTGCTGAGCAGAGATTGAGGAGCAGCTTATTGGAGCCCTGTGGTGATGCCACAAGTCGGGGTCACCTTTGGGTGCTGTTTCTTTTGTACATCAGCACACTAATGTTATTGATCAACCCCGATTTGTCAAAGTAAAACACATTCGTGCATGCACAGGTGCTCAAAAAAAAACAAAAATCATATCAAATCTTTCAATCTTTCAGCATGTATTACTGTACAAAATGAACTTCATTTATATTTGAGGCTTAGAAAAATGTTTTTTTTAATAGTCTCAAATCAATAAATCGAGTCTATTTTAATCAACAAACAAATGACAAAGTATTCAAAGAAATCCAATAAAAGTCACTCCAATATCGATGCCTTATGCAGATAAAAAAGTGACATTTTTTTTCTGATAGAAAATTCTCTTGTCTCATTTTTACAAAATTGCATCTCCACGTAATGTACTTAGCCAGTTTCAACTTTACATCTCAATGTCAAAAAGAAAGTGTCAGCTTGCTGCTATGTATAGACTTAGATGACGTGCATAATTAAAGAAAACATATGAAAGCCTGCAGTGGGCCTGAGATTAATTAGGTGCATGTCAATATCCTCATCAATATCCGATTAACCAATGACACACGGCCCAATGAAGGGTATTGATCTGTTCCAAGTGTGTGCCGTTAATAGGTTGAAGCCAAGAGTCAGTCACAGAGCTCATTGCAGAAAACTTTGCGGATCGTAGAAAGTCGTCTTCATAGCCAAATCGTAACGATCATGTGGTGCAGACTCATGGGAATCCATTTATTGCTATGGCCACAACTGAACTTAGTCAGCTTTTGCTCGAATTCCCATCCTGTTACTGATAATTAAAAATGACCCCAAAGGATCGTTCTCTCCCAAAAAGACTCAATCTAGATTAATGGTGGCGAAATGGCCAACATAAGTTAGTCCCTTTATGATAATGATTATAATGATAATAATGAGAGCTTGGATGAAGGATGAACAATCCCCTGTACTGGAGTTGAATCCCTATACAGGTTAATTAGGTAAGATAACATCATTAGCCACTCTCATGCCTGCACTGAAAATTAATTGGATAAGATGGAGATTTAGGTCTCTGTTTAAATCACATAAACGATCAATGCCAGCTTTGGCAGAAAATGGGAGGGCCAAATCAGCAAAAATCTTATTTAGATTACATTAAACCAGCTTAATGAGGAAAAATAAAGTATCCCAGTGGTTTGTTAATATAGGTGCTGCGAGGGCCCTTTAGGATGCACTGAACAGATGAAAAAGTGCATTAATGATGTATTGTTGTGCCTTATTAAATCCTGATTGTTTTCAGCTTTGTTTGATAATCAAGAGGAGATTGTGACATGGGTCACTAATCAAAACATTAAGATAAAGCTAACTAGTCTGCTGCAGCTGGTACATATTAACGAACAAATGAGTAATATTATTTGTCAATACGGTACCTTGAAAAAGTGTCCCTATCCAGTTAATCTATTAGAAACTATGCATGATTGTAAATATGTATATATTTTTAAGCAAACAGAAACAGTAACTCTGGGGGATGCGCAGAAATTCAAAGCTCAGGTTGGACATGCTGCTGAAAACTTAACTAGTAATTCTGTGTCCAATATTCTTCCTTCTATGGCAAAGAGGAAGCAATCATTGAAAGAAAAATAATGAGAATCCTCCCCGCCCCCTGCAGTTTGCCACAAACCCTGCAGGAGACATAGCAGCATGAGAAGATAATCTTTTTTTTTTTAAACTGATTGCTGGGTTTTAGATGGCGTAGCACCGGCAACGTACTTGTGTCCAATGGGTACATTAAAGTTGCTTGCGATTCGTCATATTAGACAAGAAGAAGACTGTCACCCACTCCAGATAGAGAGCAAGAAGTAAATTTACGTCTGTTGATCCAGCATCAAAATGTCGAGTATGGTCGCTCCAACTCGACACAGAGAAAGATAAAGGTATAGTTATTTTGTGTTTTCAAGGCAGTAGTGTTTTCAAGGCGGTAATGGAGTTAATTTTTAAGAAAAAAATACTTCTCGAAAAGCGGGGAAAAGTGGATCAACAAACAGGAGATGTGGAAACTAACAAAGCCACAGTTTGTAGCGCCCACTTTCTAACAGATAACGATTGCATCATTTAAATTGTACTTTCAGATATTTTATTGTTCAGTAACTCGGAAGAGCAAGCATTCATGTGTAAGGTAAAATATATTATTTTTATGCCCTAGCTTCTTGGTCGACCCCAGAGTGCTAATGTTGTTAGCAGCTGACCCAGTGCGAGTCCCGACAGAAAAATTATAATGTTTAATCTGTGGGAATTTCATGCAAAAAAAATAATAATACAAAAAAAAATATTATATATATATATATATATATATATATATATATATATATATATATATATATATATATATATATGACATTTTCCTAGCCATACAGTCACGTGAGCTGTGACCATTCCCCAACATGGTTCGTGTGTCATCCGGGTCACGTGGCCGAAACCCGGCAATATGTCAAATTCAATGAGACTTATGCTACATTTATTTATTTTATTTTATTTTCGTCTTGGAAGTTGAGTCTTGGAACAGAACATGGCTGAAGGTCGAGAGAATCAAGATGTGTGAAACCACGTGCGATGCTCTCCTATGAACAATCTCCCTTCTTATTTTATAAAAGGCCACCAATGCCCTGATGACTTTGTAGTCATAAATAAGGCAGTCTGAATGTTTGTTGTAAGGGAACCATTAGCTAGTAGCTCATGAGTTTGTTCCAAGGGGGACATTAGTGTTATTAGTGCCAGGCCAATCCACTGGGCATTCTCTTACTATTCCTCACAGCAGCCCCAGAGCTTGCCGGCTGTCTTCAGCAAAGAATTATATTTGTGTGTACCTTTCCATTAATAATGCATGGTGCTACGTTTGTGTGAACTGTCATATGGTACATAACAGATGTTAAAAAGACACAAGGAACAGTTTAACTTCAGTTTCAGGAAGTTAACGGAGAGTGGGAGATCACAAAGCAATCAGTTATACCTTTGGTGTCTGTGTTTCAAATGAAAAACTAAGTAAACACCTGGTTAAAGGAGCATCCTGCCACAACTTCCATTAATAATTCAGCATTGCAAATAACACAAACATTAATATAATATTGCCATCTGGTAGATTAAACTTGTTCTTCCCAACTTGAATGTTGATGTTAACGGGTTTTTTTTTACTGCTACCAATTATTCTTTTCTAAAATGTCGAGTCAAATTCATCTAATTCCGAATATCTATCATTAAAGTTTATCCGTGCATAATTAATTCAAGACTTTCCCTTGTTCTTGTATTTCAGTCAATGAGAGTGAGTGGGAGGAGGTTATCTGACACCATGTGTGTTGTGTGCCGTGCAGAAACGCTTGCCCACCGTTGGCCTGACGACTGAAGAGAAGCTGCCCATGAAAAGGTAAAAAGTCTGGCTTCATAAGGTAATGTTCTTATTAATCCGAAGGGATACTACATATACAATAAGCAATATAATGTGTTATTTTTTTATCGTAAGATTTGCTGTCCATTTAGTTTTGATCAAAGTCTGACAGAAGATGGTTTAGCAATTCAATACTTGTTGAAAGTTTTTACACCACTAAGAGCAAGGAAATAAATTTTACATTTATTATCTTACTAACACACTAATCAAATGCAACACTCTTTGAAATATTCACTTCAGTACAGTTAATTTCCATTTACTTTACTAAATTAAAATTTATCTTTGAAAATAAATTTTAATGCTTGCGTACTATGTATTTGAGTGCATATGGATTTAAACTGCTGTTTTTATACGGCTGAAAGCGCTGATGTAAGGTTGACTCGCTCGTGTTGTACATTAAAAATGAACCCGTATCTGTTGCTGCACCAAAGCTCAGTCTTATTGTGACTATTTAATTATTTGCTTGATCTGTGTGCAAAAAAGACAAAGACATGTCAAATGAGGATTTCAGGTTGGATCACACTATACAAAACAGTAAGTTAGAAATGGATGGAGCTAAATACAAGAAACTCCAGGTGGAAAACCTATGACAGGATTCACCTTCCAGGACAGCAAATCCCCCCCAAACATACAACCAACATTACATTCATGTGTTAGAATTCATGTGTTAGAATGGTCCGGTCAAAGTCCAACACCTAAATCCAACGAATAATCTTTGGCAGGAATTTAACACTTATTGAGCTGTTTAATTTTGATTTTAATTTCCCAAAAGACTTGTAACGAAGTATAAAGTTCTCCAAAGTACTAATATTATTGTGAAAAAAAAACAACAAAACAAAACAAAAAACACTTCAGGGTTATTTGTGAACCAAAAATAAACCCAAAAAACATCTTTTAAGATATTTTAAATTTAGGGCATAACGGCATAAAATGTGACAAAAGTGCAAGGAGCGTAACTACATTTTGTCCATGGTCATTATTTATAGGATTTATGATGGTTTATACAAATTTCTTCAAGCAATTTGTCTGATTTGCTAACAACCCGAATGCTGTGATGTAAACAAAAGTCTGCTAAAAGTCATGAGGAGGAATATTTGATACATTTTAGTTGCAAAAGTCAACACAGAAATTAACTGAAAAGAAAGAGAGGCTGTGTTGTTGAACTCCGAGCAGAGTGTATTACTTTTTTCTTTTTCATATCTGAACATGAAGCGCTGTACTATGTACAGGTCAAAAAACAAACATATTAACAGAAAACACTGTATGTTTAATTTAGGTACATGTTAAATAATTCAGTACACCACTGAACTCATACATGTTAATATTGCTTATCTGATTCTAACTCAGATGCAGCGAGCGCTCCGAATTCTCATGGACCTGAGGTTTTTTTTCCAGCGTAGCTGTTGCGTTCAATAACTATGAACCGTTAGCAGAAAAGTGAATCAGTCATTTATGTGGTTCACAACAGTGTTGGCAACCCCTTTGTTTAGAGAGTCAGTGTTTGGCAGGAGGCTTGCAGCTTTAACAATTAATAGACTTCTCACAGCATCACAATTTTACAACCTGTGTAAAACATTCTAACATGCAAAGGCACACACAACTCTTTAAATAACCCAGAAAAACAGTAAAGCAAACTGAAAACAGGAATGTTTTTGGCTTTTGGTGTCTAATTTAATATAATACACATGTAAAGGAAATGCTGCAAAACATCATCTGTGTCTTGAAGTATTACCCCTCTTCTAGTGATAAGTGCCACTGGATACAAATAGAGACAGCTGGAGATATGGCTAAAGAGTTTTATTCTCCACATTTGTTTACATAATCAGCTTTTTCTTGCGGGCCACAATAAGGCTAAATGGATATCCTGTGGTCTTTGCCTGGTTAATGTGAGCGGACCGCACACTGGCTTTGCTTTCTCTGAGTTATTACGTCGAGTGTAATTTGAAACAATTACAAAAACACTGGCCCACTTGTTACAACACTCATTTTCCCCTCACATATACAAACCACGGATTCAATAGCTTTACATGTTTTTCAATCACACCCAGTGGAGCAGTGTTCAGTGTGAAAAAGTGTAGCATTTCATCCTAGCTCGCATGGTATGGGATAATCTTTCACATTTTGCCCGGGGTTTGTTTTGCTATTTCAGCAGAAACTTGCACGAGCCATGTGAATTACCACAGGAAAAAAATGATAAAAATACCAAATGATATTGCATCAGATGTAAAATGAACAAACAAACTTGAATAATCGGGGCAAATAATTTATCTCTGAAAATAAAGGCTGTTTATTATCCTTTCTTCTCAAAGATGCATTGCAGAGATAATAGTTTTAAACATACAAGCAGAAAAGAGATATTGTGACATAGCTTGGAAGGAGCTTTTTTTTCTGCAAAGTAAGCTTCTATGATGCAGAGGAGAAGCTAAGCATTGAGGACATCCATTTTTTTTTTGTTTTTTTTCCCAATAGCAGGAATTTTAGTTAAGTACTGATATGAAAACTGCACCAAGTGTTAGTAATCAAAATAATCTTCACAAATAAATTAGTTCATAAATTATGTGTCGAAAGCGAGATTTTGCATTCTCTTAATCAAGAATTGATTAAGAGACCTGAACACAGAGAAAAAAACTTTGTTGGTGATGTCAGCATCAGGAAGTCCCCTCTATGGTGAAGCTAGTCCCATTTATTAATGAAGAGGGATTTTTGGCCACATTCTCCAAGCAAACTTGCTTAAAGTTTTGAAGATGCTGCTGGTCTTTTCTGTGCATGCAGTCTGATGTTTTGCTCTCTCTGCCAGTTTTGTATTGGATTCTGGTCAGGTAACTGACTGGGCCATCCTAGCAGCTTTATTTTTCTTCTCCGAAGCCAACCAGAGGCTGTCCTTGGCTCTGTGTTTGTTTGGGATTATTGTCTTGCCAAACAGCGCTTCATGTTCAGATTTTTATTTAATTTTTTTAATAAAAAATTCATTCATCATTCAATTGCATCGAGTCTACCCGTACCAACAAAGAACGCACGTTACCGTTTCTTGTAACACGGTTGATGTGTTGTTTGTAGGTAAGCATCATTTATGACATGACCTCCAAGGGTTTTGGTCTAGTCTAAACATATTATATCCTTATAGTGTTATATTAGCTTGTCCAAAAGTTCAGCTACAAGTGTAAAACACATTTATATGTGCTTTTTCTTCAGGAGTGAAGTCTTGTGCAGCATGGATTATATTATCCTTTGTTTGGAATAGCTTCATTTGCTATTTGTAACTCTTTCTAACGCTTGGCAAGGAGACACCGGGACATGGTTGATTTGTAATGAAAATCTATCTTGTCCACTAGAATATGATGCTAATGGTTTCTAAACATGAACATGTTTAGTAAATTTTAAAACAATATCAGTCAGGCTCACGTGGTTAAGACTGATGTCTTTATTTTGGCTATTTATTTTTATCAAATTATGAGAATTCTTCTTGTTTTTCAGTCCACGGCTTACTGTTGCAGAGAGGTCACAGTCAGCCTGTCTTGATCTTTGGCCATTTGCGGAGATGGACGTCTTTGGCAACGTGAGTGCAGTTCCACTTCTGTTCCTCATAATGACATAGCTGAACTCGAGAAGGCCATACCTCATACCTCGGACCCTCCCTCTCTCTAAAGGTGCTGCTGCAGCCTGACCATTGACATTTAACATTCCTCCGCACTGCCTCTGCATTCTCAATGGGGGATTGAGGAGAGCAGAGGCCAGTGCCCGGTTCTCAGGGGTAAAAACAAAAAGGCTCTTGAAAATCCCAAAGAGTTCCCATGATCCTAAGAAAGACCTTGATCCGACCTGTGTTAGATTTCCATTCCATGGATTAAGGGCACAAAAAAGGGACATATTTGGGTGATTTAGTTTGTCCCTTGGCCTGGATTCTGATCAAGGAAGTATCAGAGTTCCACTGGCTGGCATTAAAATATATGGCATGGTAATTTGGCTAAAATAAAAATTCCTGAAATCTTTTTTTTTTTTTTTTTCTGCCCACAAAGCTTTCATGGCCTTCACTGAAACAAAGTCCCCGCAAAACACTTGTAGTGACATTTAATGGTGGAAAGTTTTCAAAGTCATTTTTCAAGGTTTTTCCACTAACATACACAATCTGTTAGCATCAAAGGAGCACACATGCATAAATAATTGACTAATTCACTTAAAGGGGGCCAGCGTAGATTAATTAAGCTTGAATACTAATTATGTTTTTCTGTCTACACCAACCGACGCAGTTGTTGTTTAGAAGAAACTGTTTGGTGGGTCACAATTACCGTGCTCATATAAGTCTGCTCTATAAATTAAGACGCTTGCATATTTTAATGGCAGGGCTGGCTTTTTCTTTGAAAGAAAATGCTAACCTTATCTTTAGTGACGACGAGGGGGCTTTGTAGAGGTTCTCATTGTTCTTATGACATTTCACATTTCATACAGCATTTTGTTTTACTTGTATTTAAAAGAAACTTTAACATTAAAACATGACAATCGTTAAGGCCTTGATTTTTGATTTTTCAAGCCATTTGATTTAATTCTTCCAAAAGGTTTAACCTAAGTGCGAAGAAATAAACAATGTAGGATGTTTAAAACAATTTCATATGTCATTTCATGCCAATATTAGCAGAGGTTTATTGTAAAAAATGTAACGTTACAGAAAGAGACAACATATGCGGAGAAGCATTCATGCCAGGCTTCTGAAAACTTCTATCACTTCCAGAAAATCTCACACCCCTGACTCCTGTGTGCCTAGTGTTTCGAGTATTTGTCTGGAAATGGTAGCTCCAAAGTGTCCTAGGGAAGACGAGCTCTCGCTGTCAACTCTCCCCTGGCAAGCAGCGTGCGCAGTGACAGAGGAAGACAGCTCAAAGCTGGGGCCTTGTTTACAGCTGCGCGGGGAAGAAAACAGGCAGACGTAAATGAGGGTTGACGGTTTCATGAAGCACAATTGGTTGACGGCAGATTCAATGTGACTGGGCTGAACTGGGCGATGATCCGTACAGTATGCAAAATTCACTTTCTAGCTGGTCTGTGCCCACCAGCCCCTAGCGGCAAGCGGTCTTCCCCAAGCCCTTCTAGCTATGCCTTTGAATGCAACAAGAACTGAACAAGGCATTGTTGTGTTCTATTCATTTTGACAACAATCACATTTAAAAGGAAAGAAAGGAAATAAGTCATGAATTTCTCTTGACACCACAAATAAACGTTTTTTGTTGTTGTTGTTGTTGTTGTTGTTGTTTGTTTGTTTTTTCTGAAGCTGAATGCAGAGTTCACATTTTGGATAAAAATAAGCATGGGATTAAAAAGGCAAAGTGACTGCAGGATGGTGAGTGTAACTGCAATGGTGCAACAATAACTACTTCGCACTGAGGAAATTTATAATGGGACTCAGCAGTTGGATTGTGAACCGTCATTTCATTCTCAAAACTTTTGAATTTATTTCATAAACCTCCATGACACTTTTACCCCCTTAGGATTAAATTCTTGCTGTCATTTTGGAAGTGCAGCATCTGCATGTTACATCCACTTACGACATATCAAGCAACAGGCCTCGTATGGTCTGAGGATGTTGTCAATGTCTCCTGATTTGCCTCTCCTTCTAGCTAACGACAGAGAGGCTAACGTGTAGATCCGATTTCTAATGACAGTAGCCAGAATGTGTCATGGAGGGTCTTGGTTTGCACCAGGATTTCTTTTTTTTTCCTGTCTATGGAGTTAAAAATAAAAGGGAATATCAGGTTTTTTAATTAGCTAAATTTCTATTAACTTTTCTATAATTGTTGCTTTGAGTATTTTAATTATAATATTCTGCTCTTCCAGATGAGTTAATTGCAAACACTCATCCCCATGTGTGTATTCATAAGATACTCACCTCAAATTTAACATTTCTGAAAGGTTCTCACCATTTACAAATCAAGCACTTTTCCATGACGGGGCTTAAAGTGTTTTCTCAAAAGGACAAAACAAAATAACTTCACTGGACAATGGTAAGCCTCCCAAATATTTGGTGAACCCTTTGCTCTCATAACACCTCACTGACACTGAAAATCGTACACGTCTTCACTCAGTAACAGAATTCACACCAAAAGATGTTGTTTGTGCTATCTGTTAGCGCTCAGGTATCTCGCTTTTGCTGATTGGGAAAAGATTAAATTTGTTAGGATTCAATTGACAGATCAGTCATGGTCAAAGTGTAATTTGTTAGCTTCTGGTCACCTGATGATTAATTTTAATTTGACAATTAAGGAATATACGGAAAATGGAAAGAAAACACAAAAATATAGGGAGACAGTCATAACCAATGACAAAATGTTCTCTCATCTTTGCTACGACACAGTACGTACAAATCACAGACGATGATTGGTACCCAGTCGAAAGGAAAATGGTTTTTAAATAAGTTACAATTAGATAAGCATTAATCTCAGTGGTATAAATGAATGTCTTGCTGTAGGGCTTGTCGAATGTAAAAACAGATTTACAAAAACCCCTCTTTCCAGATTGGTCTGGAAGTCATCCTCTGCTATTTTAATTGCTCTGTCATTTAAAACTGAAAAAGTCCCCTTTTTCCCCCCAACAACAGTCTGCCCCTTGATTTTGCCTTTGAAATTAAATATTGTATACAAATACATGCTGTTCATGGGCATGAGCACCGTTCATCACTGGAATCTGCATAAAATAATGCTTAAAGAGCTCCATACGCTTTAAGCAAAGGAGCTCTTTCATATGGTACGTTCACATGTAAACATATCAGTAACACAAAAACACAACTACTTATGTCCTTTTCCTCCTGCCTCTGCATTGTTCTTCTGCTTTGCAGAAATGAGAGAAATGTGGGAATGCGGCTTGTTTCACATGTTTATGAATTCAAAGAAAACCATACTGGCTTTTGGATATCTATTTTTTATTTTTATTTTTTGCAATTAAAGACCACCTACAGGGGTACTTTAAAGTTACCATGTCCCCACAGAAATGTATAGATCTCTCCTGCAAATGCGTCACATTTTATCTAAATTTTATTTGGAGGCTTTAACATAAGACAGGAGTGTTTAGGTAGATGTATAGTGACGCAAAGAGAAGCGCAGACCATATCTGGGCACCCTTATCCTATTTGGTTAAGAACGCACAATTTTCCAGGAGATACTTTTGTTGCCTCGTCGTTTTAGAAACGCGCAGGAAGTATTTTAATGTGACCTTCATTACACATTCATGTCAACTTTTCTTATCTATTTATGATTAAATTCTTTTCCACTCCTGTTGTTCAATTAGTGCTTGACCCCTTTAGCGGCGATGTAAATTAAATGACATTTCAGTGTCGTCCCATATTTAAAATACTGCGTTAGTTGCGGATCATAAATGATGATCTTCATTCTGCAGCTAATTTATTCATTTAACAATTTCCCTCCAGAAGTTACAGCAGAAGGCTCTGCAGCAACCTAAGCAGAAGAAATCCAAGTCGGCTGAATTTCTGATGGGTGAGTCCTGCTTGATGAGTTATTGCTCATAATTTGTGTAAGGATTAATTAACTAATTACAGACAAATGGCTTTGGGCTAAATTTTGCTCTTGCTTGTCAGGGCGCAATTTGTAATTATTTTAATCATTTCTTCTCCTCTTTTTTTTATCCTCCTCCTGCAAGATTCTGATTTAATTTTAACCTAATTGTGTTTTAGTATCATTTGAGAAGGATGCGCCTGAACATTTAGAGGCATAGAAATCAGTAATAGAATTGTTTTAATAATAAATATGTCTAATATTTAAAAAAAAATGTGGTGAGTCATTCTGACCTATAGCTGTTGTTTTGGCCTGTGTGTCAATGCCTTTCAATTTATGTTGCTGCTTATTTTATCAGGGAGCGAGGAGAGAGCTGCTGTTGTGGGCATAGAAAATCCTGCGTTCAATGGAGAAGGAAGCGCCGCGCTTTCCAATTCTTCGAGTTGGCTGGGGAGAAAAATGCGAGGTGACAGGCCAGATAGCACCCTTGCAGCTCACCAAAAAAAATTGGAGCTGCAAGCTCCTGCCAGTGAAAGAGGTGAAGCTTCATTCTTCATTAGCCTCAAATCTGTTGACAGTAGATGTGTTCCTGATCTAACCTTTCTCTTGCTTCCTCCTTCTTTTATTTCCTGCTCTCTCTCCCTCTGTCTCTCTCTCTCTCCATTCGAGGGGTCCTTGGTCCTGGCATTCCAAAGCAAGCGTGTCCAAACAAGCATGGTCGTATAACTTCTTCCGCTGGAGATCGCTCTGCAGTAGTGGGTGTTCTATCTCTATCTAGAAGTACCCTCGACACAATCAGCCTTGACTCCCACTCTCGGCTACATGCCTTGTGGTGGGCTGGAGTCATAGGAGAGTGCATTTACATATGCTACTATGTTACCAAGCCGATCTGCTGTCTGTGCGGTGTACTCACAACACCCCCGAAACACGGCTTTAGGCCAATCAGGCATACGAATATGCCCCTTTATAATTCAGTATGTCAGGGAGAACTCTTGAGGAATGGAATGGTAAATTAGGATGCGTTCAAGGTTGCGAGCGTGCCAGTTTTTCTCAGGGATGAGTCACATTTTAGATTCTTGATTTAATGTGGCTTATTTTGCTTTGGCTGTGGATGGTTACTAATTATTTTACCCTTATTGTCATTATTAGTAATGCAATGGAAATAGAATCAGACTCATGTGGGCAGAAATATTTATTCCTGAGTTGTTCTCCTAAAAGTGCAAATCTTATATTTTGTCTAGTGTTCCTATAAAATGCATCCTGGTGTAATGTTAAGAACACCACTGTTTTAAAATCGAAAGTGAGGCACTATACATCTGTCCCTTCTTGTCTGCTAATGGAAAATGTTTTTTTTTTTCCAGTGATGCAAAGTAAATGTTTTTTTTTTTTTTATTGCAACAAATTTTGATCTGAAGGCATAGAGAAATTGTTATAACGATCTTTTTTTTTCTGAACATATGTATTTCTATGGCCTTTCACCTAGAGCTGTGTCATTAAACTGAAACAACAAAAGATCAACTGCTTATAACATGGGAAAAACAAGTGCAATCAAAAAAGTAACATTTGTAACAAAGTGTAAAATCAAATTACATAAAAGGTTACATAGTTAGCAGTGTTAACAAATTGTAAACAGCAACAAAACAATTACTTGCAAGGGTTCAAAAAAATATAGGCTGCGAAAAAGAAACTATTTGTAAAAAGTAACAATATAAAAAGTAAGATTTATTCCACTGTTATCAAGTAACAAACTATATGGAGTAAAATATTTGTAGCATAACTAACAATTACAAACTACTTAAAATAAATATTTGCAACTGTTTTCACCATACCACATCATTAAAAGGAAAAGGTTTAACAAACTACGAACTACATACAAACAGGCCTCTCATATGTTAGACAAGATGCTATGTTATATAGAAATTGTATTTTCGCAACATATAAAAAAATTAATTTTAATGCAGTCACACAATCACCACACCACCATACTTGAATTAAATAAAAAAAAAAACTTAGCATCTATCTTAAAAAAATAACCTTAAAGTAGAGGAATATGAAATAATGCAATTAGTTTGTTGAATCCTGAAAGATTCAGTAGTATTTGTGTAAAATTTGTGTGACACTTTGACTTACAAAAAATAACTCATTATATTGTTTCTGCTAACAGTGTCTCTGGCTTTCGAGAAATGTTAGTTTCAGATACTTTGTATGTAAGAACAGATAATTGAAATTTTCATTAGAGGGATGAATTGGAGGGCAGCCAGACTATTTAGGTAAATCACAGCTATGACTCAAAAGGCGATTCATGAAGCTACTACCATTATGCAAATGTGTGTTTGAAAAAAGGGTTTCATAACCTCAGAGCTATTTGCAGAGAAATTGTTCAAACTCGTTGCTAACAGTGTAGAGACTTAACATGGGAATTTCACAGTCAATTTATGGCGCCAATGAAAAGTCACACTGCAGCTCCTCAGTTAATAAGTATTTCCGTCTGAGTGTTTAACTTCAGAGTACGGACAGTGTGTGCAAACCCATTGCAGAAATTTTAGATGAGCTTGAAAGGATCTCTGTGAACTCTCTCATATTTGGATGGTGACGCTCCAATCCAAAACCACCTACTGACAACTTTTAAACATCCAAGCTCCAACACATTCAGATTCCTATAAAGAGAGGCCTTGTCTCAAATAAGTGTCATGATTTAATGGAGCATGTCCCTACAACTTGAGAAATACAAAGTAAAGCAATTTTGGATTGGAGTGAAAAATTCAAGACTTGTAAATGAGAATGATTTGTGGTTAAGGAAGCTGCTCGGTAATGTGTACTCTCAATGGAACAAGCCCTGGGGTCATTTGATTCTCATAAACTGTGTGGCGCAGACTTGATACCCATAGGTCAGTGATTGCTAATAAGAAGTCAATGAGACAAGGGCTCGGGTTATTTTCCTTTGGATCAGGTCCCCCAAACTCGACTGGTCCTCAAGGCCGCTGACCTCGGAGTATTTAGAAGGTATTGTCTTTGAAATTCCAGGTACTTTAAGGCTTGTAGACTTTCTCATTAGTTTCTTTTGAACATGGCAAACATATGGGAGTTGTATTTAAGAGATTGCCTGCCTTGACCTTTTGCGGCATGCTAATTAGGCCCCAGAGCACTGCAGGCCACGGAGAGGTGCTCTGAGAAGCCCAGCAGTCTTTTTTCCCACTTCGCTCTCTCTGCCTCGGAACTTGTCTCGTCTTGGAGCCGCCTTATCTGCTAGCCCACCGCTACCACTGCCCTTCTACAGTGTGCATTTCAAAATTAAAATTTTGCTTCATGTGCTTCTAATAACCACTAACCTGAACCTGTACAACTCCCTCCTTCCCTTCTCATACACTGCCCCCCCTACACCTCCCGTCTCCCTTTTCCCAACCCTTCCACTCTCCCTCCTCGCTTTCCAAAGGAAATGAACGTGTTCGAAATTACTTTGACCTGCCACCGCCAGAACAGACAGACCCAAGGCAATGGGAGATGGCTGGGGTCAGCGCCGAAGATGAGCTGGAATTAAGTATGCCATTCTCTGTCATAATGGTTCTCCTCGGTTCATTAAAGAGGGGTGAGAGAGATCACTGGTAGCAGGCTGCCATTTGTGACGGCGGGACATTTTATGTAAATACACCAAACGATGGCATCACTAGATTGGCTACCCAACTCGTTGTCATTGATGAAGGTCACGAATCATTGGTCAGTTTTCATTTCACTGTGGAGTTTCCTCTCCCCAGTCAAAAAGACACATGTAGAGCCACATCAATAGTTTGCAGCCTTCTGCTAAAATGGGCCTATTAAAAGCAAGCTCTTGGGAGCCAAGAAATATGCATGTTATAATGAAACCTGGCTATTAATGGAGAAGCCATTTCACCTGTATCTTTTGGATATCACTGCCTTGTAATATCAAAGGATTCACCAAATCAAATCTCATCACATGATGACAGCCCAGCTAACAGGCATGTTAATGCTCCTATTTCATTACTCCCGTCTGCATTTTCACCCTCTTCTGCTGCAGCCAATGTCTCCAGTTTGCAGGCGGCAAAGATGTGGTTTAGATTAACTTGTCTGATAAGTTGAATGTAATATTGAAGCTGATAAATGTATGAGATTTTTTTTTTTATTTCACAGAAGGTGAAGTCACTTTCTGAATGTTTTGGTTTCTAGAAATACTGAAAGCAGATGAAAACAGACTGTATGAAAGAATGACTGCATTGCTGAATGAAGATGAAACCTTTATAAACATACCTGGTATGTATACCATTAGTACTCTGATACTTTATCTTAGACAGCTTTAATATTCACCACATTGTTAGATTTCACTGGTGACCTATGCTATTGATCAAAACACCTGTAGTGCATAATGTTGATGTACTGGAAAAATGCTATATGTTTTATTAATAATTCAGAGAAGTTTCAAAGGGTTTGAAACTTCTTTGCCTCTTTTACTCTGATACATTTAAATAAAATCAGTTTACCCAATAGCCAATGAAGTATCAAATTTACAGAATCAAGTCGACCTGTGTGTAGATTTGCACAATTGCTGTCCCCTTAAACTGAAAGGCCAAGTAAGGAGAATATTAGTAAAAAAAGCAGCCAAGAGGGTCAAGGTAAATCTGGAACTGATACAGATTTCCAAAGCCCTGGTGACACACTCTGCTGAAGGTTTAACTATCTGTTCTCTCCACCAACCTGCTCTTTCACCAAGTTGAAAGAAAGCAATAAGAAGTCTCACTTGCAGTTTGGCACAAGCCATAGGGAGGAGACGGCAAGCTGGTCACATCGGAACAAATTTTAAGTTGCATCCAAATCCATGGGACGACGCTGGGTATTGGATACCAACACACAACACAGTTTTCAGCTTTATCTCGTGAAAAGTTTGAAAACTTTGCATTTCTTTCCATCCAGTTCACAGATATACACTACCGTGAAGGGGTCTATCACATAAAGTGCCAATAAAATATGAAGTTTTGTGATTGTAGCTCAAATGTGAAAATGTTTAAGGGTTGTAAATACTTTTGCAGGGCACTGCACCCTTCAAGATTATAGTGAGACTTAAATATTCAATTTCTTAAGTACAACAAGCTATACAAGCAATACAAGGATAGCAGGACTACAGACATGCAAAGAATGAAGTCAAAGCTGACCCTACCTTGTGCTTTCTATGGATGGCAATTGTTTTATTGCAGGTGTGCCTTTCCTAATTAAGTTACTTTCATTTTATACTGTATTCATCAAGGCGACACACAGATGGTTAAAGCTTGGCATTGTTCTATGTGAAGGCTGTTATACCAGATCCTTTTGCCATGACGCACACCTACTTTGTAATTCCAGCACACGAGCGATGGGTTTAGGCCCGCTTCAGCATGGTAGAATTTAGAAGGCTTGCATTATTCCCCATTGTTTTGGATTTAGCTGTACTACTGAGATTAGTGCCCCTATTCATTGTCTTGGGATGTTCATAAAAATCCCACCAGAGAATGTAAGGAGGATCTCGGATTAACAGCTCCACGCAATAGGCTGAGAGACAGAAATGCAAAGAGTGACACCAAAGGAGAAGAAGAGAGCTCACACTCCTGTGCTGAAGTGAAATTGTGACGACTGCCAGTTAACACTTTACTAAGCAACAATAGACTTCAAAACAATTACCTTATGTAGTTGTATGGTTGCCTCCCACCGGTACAGACGGTACAGTGTTCTCTGTGGCAGCAGGGCAGAAGGGGAGTATGTCTTCAGAGCTGATCCCGGTACTTAGTGACTGCTTCAAAGGCTTTTGTTTTTGATTTCCCAGTCTGTCACAAAAAAACCATGAATTTCACAAGCCAGAGAATGGATAAAACAAAGTATTAATGAAATGGACAGTGGCCAGTGCCAGGGATGTTTTTTTTTTTTTTGTTTTTGATTTTGTCAAACAGAGATCCTGCAAAAACCTCTTCTGTTTGTCTAGAAGTGATCTTTTTTGTATCTTGATGGATTCTTTTGCTTTGGCTCAGAGAGGTACAAACACAGAACTGGCATCCTTTTCAGTACTGGTTTCTGCGAGGCGTGAGGCAATGATAGCAACTTCTTTACACAAAGCATTAGGCAACGACAACAGCTTTGGCTCCTCCACATGTTGGACTGCACACGTTGAATGCACTCGATGCTGTAAAAGAATTGTCATGTTTTCTATCACTGAAGGAGGATAACAAAACTGCAAAGACACACAATGAGAAGATTGTATCTAATTCTTGCGATTAGTTGTAAAGAAAGTGTGGTTCTGAAACTAGAAATTATGGCATCTTTATTCCACTCTTAGCAAACTAAGCGTTAGTTTATGTACAACTTTATGCTGTCTATCTAAATTTCAAAAGAATATTGCCTTAAAAAGTATTGTTCTGTTATTTTGGAACAAAGATTTACAAATATACTGACATGCCTCAAACATTTTATTATGACTTCATGTTTTCTTAACACTTTTTTCTAGGTTACTTAATTATAAGGCAAAATGAAAAAAAATATATTTTAACAATTTTGACAAAGAAAAGTCTACAAAATGAACAAATATATTCTTAATAATTATTTGACTTCTACAAGCAATTGGTGGTGCTGGATTACAGTTTGACTAAATTGAGGGGCTAGTTACAATTGCGTGTCACACTTTTCAGACTTTCTTTGTGAAAAATGTTGAAATATTTTTCCTTCACAGATGTGCATGACTTCCTGTTATGCTCTCTTCCAGTTGTGTTGAAAAATGTTTTGCCCTGAGAATGAAAGCTGACAAGTTGAAAGCGCTTGTGGGTCATAAATAAATAATGGAAGAAAAGGCTAAAGATTATATTTAGATTTTGATTTATATACATTTTCTTTATATGTAGTTTAAAATCTCATTTAAAAAATGTTTAAAAGTCACTATCTGCATCAATAGACCTTGTTTAGAGGCCGAATTTATATCATTCTTGAATTGTGACCAATTCACATAAAATTATTTGGACACCCTTGATCTATCACACAAAGTTCCAATAAAATAGATTTAAGAGTGTAGTTAAAATGTGGGAACATATGGAAAAGTTCAAATTGTGTGACTACTTTTGGAAGTATATGCAGAGATTGTGAAAGTGCATATGTGGATCTGCCTTGTTTTGTTGTTGTTGGGTTTTTTTTCCAATTTTTCTGCTTTAGTACATGACTGTCCACCTCCACGCTTTATGTGCAAAAGCACACACATCAGCGTGTGTGCGTGTTTGTTCATGCGCATGTGTGTGGAGGTTTGCGTTTCTGCTAAGTATGCTCATCCATCAGCATGCGAATGCATGTGCCGATGTTTATGAATGCCCATCCGCCTGTGCATCTGTGTGTGCCTGTTTGTATGCATGTGTTTGAGCGTACTCACCGATGCGTTATCTCTCCAGGTACGCTGCAAGCCTCGAGGGATGAGGAGGTGTTGGAGGTGAAGGCGGGTGATCTGGTGCTTCAGCAGCGACTGCTGCTCCACAGTGGTGGTGATGCCTCAGGCCCCAAACCCTCCCAGGCCCATACCATTGCCAAACCACAGGCAGAGAGTAGTGCTTGGCTGGGAGGAGAGGGTGGACTCCAAGCAGGGAGGATGGTAACAGGCAGGGAAAGTGCTGTAAAAAGTAATGCTATTCTTTAATTTGTTTCAGGGGCTGATTTATTGTGTAGGGATACTGTTAGTATAAAGAATAACACTTTTCTATATGGATTGTGCACCTGATATTGAGGTATAGGATTTAATGCATGGTAATGTGAAAAAAATTTGCTCAAAATCTCTCTGAGATATTTGAAAACTCGATAGTTTTGTTGGTAAAATTAATTAACTTAATTCACATTGCTCCAGTAATATTCTAGACAATCTTTGGAGTTGTGTTGTTTTTTTATTATTTTCTTGCAGCAAGAGCAGCTGAGGAAGTGATCCCCTGCTACGCCCAGCAGCTGAGGGAGCGTGTGCGGCCTGACATGATCACGCTTGGCAGCCTTTCACTGCAGCAGGTCAGTGCTACAAAGGGGAATATCTGTGTCATCATCCCATATTCACTAGCACATCAGCCGTGTCCATTATGTTGTGTATCAGAGGTTTGGCTAATGGACACAGTGTGCGTGTGTTTGTGTGTGTCTTAACACGCGTTTGTCTGCTTTTGTCTCTGTAGACTGTATGTATAACTTGCTTTACTGATTCTTCTCTTTCCTGTTTCACTCACTCTGGGTTGTGTGCTCTCTTTTTCTGTAATTTTTATTTTTTGCATTTGTTTTCACAGACTTCATAAAATCTCAGCTGTGATCTTTTATTTTGCAAAACAAACACTCAAGGGTTTTTCCAATGTCAGATTACTCATTCTTGTTTAGCCCAAATTTAGAACATGGATTTCAGCTTTGTCCTTTATACCACATGCAATATTCTCACCTAATTCATTTATTCAGTTTTATTTTGTCTTTCAATTTTCAACTATGTCTATTGCTTTTGCTTGCTTCTTTACCCAGTCTTATGGTCTTTTCAATAAAAATGGAGCATGACAACATATTACTTTACAACAGGGGATTTTACAAACTAGCATTTAAGATCAGACGCCTTTCTGAGAAAAAAAATAATAAAGTGTTTGCATGCTTATACTCCCCCAGTCAAAAGAGGAATGGGAGTAGATAGAAGAATGTCAGGGTTATATTGTCTTGGGAAATCCAGTTTGCAAAAGCATTGCAGACATTAATGCAGAAGTTCTATTCACTGTATTTTTAGTTCTAATCTCATTTGAAAAGACAGTGAGAATATTACATGAATAGGGAGCAAATGTAATATAGGAACAAAGGTACAAACAGTGTTTCAATGTCACTTGGAAGTCACTGCAACAGTTGACTCATCTTCGCATAAGTGGATAATCAGTGGCATCCACTCTATCAGTGCTGGGATCAGTGTTATCTTATTCTAGTAAAATATGCACGTGCTCTGTTACTGTTTGCACACCCACCTTCAAATGAAAGAACATTATCCACCAGAGATTTCACATCTATTTAAAAATTATAGCTTTTTTTTTTTCTCCTCTCTTTCTTCGTCTGCAAGATGCTGTCACTTAGTGATGTCAATGTGTCTAAATTGGGGAGGGGGGTTTGTGAATGTGCTGACTGAATGTAAAACTGGCTGAAACACTCATCAAATGCTCCATGTCTTTAGGGTCTGGCTCAGTATTGATTGCCTGCAGATTGCATTACAGTTGCTCCTTGTGCTTAATTCTGCTATTATGGTGCACTGTACTGTTTCATAAGTCTGCATCCATAGAAAATGTGTGTGTGTGTTTGTATTTGCATGTATTTTTAGCAACCAGATCTGAAGGGAACCCAGGAACAGAGTGAGTGGGCAAAGAGAAAAAAAAGACTAATGGCTTTCTTCACTGGCGATGTTGAGGTAAATGCCCATGCATTGTATGGAAGCTGAATCAAGTGTATCTATATTTTTAGCCTCCTGAGTTGTTTATGACCTTCTTTACAAACCATGCTCTCAATTTTATTTGCCCTATTTATTAACTTCAGTTTTACATTCTTTTATGTATTTTTAAATGCAATGACAGTTTTCTTAGCTCCCCTGAAATCTCGAGCTACGTACCTTGCAAAACATTCAAACTCCTTATTCTGTCACATGACAACAACACAAGATGTATTTTACATCAATATTGTTTGTTTAATCAACAATAAATGAGGACAGTGGCTCACACTGCCTATTTGCGGTTCAGTATTCACTGATATTTCTGAGGAACACAAATCAGTATCATTCATAGCAATTCCACTTATTTGATGATTATTTACTTATTTATTTTTCATCAAATGCAGGTTACTCTGAAAAACATTACTGCTTTACCTGCCAGTGGCTGAAGTTTGCAAAGCAGCCAATCCATAAGGGTCATTAATTTACCTTGGCATTGATTGGTTTTTCCCACAAGAGTGGATATAAGGAAGTCCATAGCTGTTAGCTTCTGCTGTAGTGTTAACAAATGTGTGCATTAATGCATATTAAGACATATTTTGTTTTTGACTGATTATAATGGGTGGTCACAAGTGATTTCAGAGGAAATTTTCAGTAGTTATAAATTTTAACTATTTGCCAGTGTATGAAACAGTACCAAACAGCGCAGAGACGTGCCTTACTGTTCTATGGAAACGATGCAAAGGCACAGCCTTGAAGGCTAATTAAAAAGCTTCAATTTTTTTTTCTATATTTCCAGTTTTTCATCAAATGTGAGGCAGACTTCAAATGTGAAAAAAAAAATGTTGATACAGCCAGAATGGTTCAAAGCTTTTTTGGTCAACATGCAAAGTATAAGGTGTGGGGAACAGTTACAGTGGACACACCATACCTCCATCAAGCACTGTGGTGAGAGCTTCATGTTGTGGGATTCTTAGCAGGAATAGGATCGCTGCTAAGGATTTATATCAAGATAGATTAAATGAATGATCACATTTAATCCTCCAGCAGAACAATGACCCTGAACAAACAGCTAGCACATCAAAAGTCTCATTCAGAAAAACAAACAAACGGAAAAAAACAAACATACGGAAAAAAACAAACATATTTTTGAGATAAAATGCCCTGGTAAATATCTAGACCTAAATTATGCAGAAAAAAAGACTCAAGGAGTGGAAATATTCTGTAAGAGGCATTGTAATTTGTAACATTACAGAATACAATCATTTTGATAAAACATTTAAACGAGCGAAATCCCTTCAATTGATGTAATTTTTGAAGGAACCCAGTTCACAGAGAGACAGTGATGAAGTATTAAGACCCCAGCCCAGAGTGAACACATTGTTTCAGTGGTAAGTACAGCTCCTTTCATATCACCTCTTACCCCCATATATAAAACTGATGTCACGTGACTGTAATCATTAATTGTGTGAGAAGCATTTGTATTACCGTAGGACAGATTCATATGTCCTCTGCAAGGCTTCTGCTGTCAGCAGGCATTGCATTGTGGGTAATATGGCTCAGGGGCACAGAAATCTGTCCATATCACTGGGCTAGGAGGTGCATCAATTCTTGCTCCATCCACTTTGGTCAGGCTTCACATCTTGTGGCGAGAGCCCTGCAGGCAATCAAGCTTAGCATGTTTAAGTTTTCATTAATTACGGACTACCATGCTGGCTGAGATGATAAAAATCAAGAAACTAGTGTACGCGTCAGAACCGCGACTTGTGCTGGCCCGTGTTATGGGTGGGTGGTAAGTCGGACACCAGCCCTGTCAGATGAATGTGATTTGGAGTTTAGCGAGATGACCTCCTCCAGACAGCCTTGAACACTGTAAATCCTTGCTGATATCAATAGTGGGTGGCTATTAGACATCGGAGACTTTCTACGCATCACCCAGGGCTACATCTGCCTGAAATGGAAAGAGAAATGATTTCACTTTTCTTTCCCTACATCTTTGAGAGAGCGAAAGAGAGAGAAAGAGGCAAAGAGACACACACACAGAGAGAGAGAGATAGAGAGAGAGAGAAAAAAATTAGAACAGACACAGAGCTGACTTGTGTTTTTGTAACAAATGTGTAATTCATTTGTTTCCACCGTTTCTGATTTAATGGAGGTTGAGTAATTGCATTAGGAAGCACATTGTGCCATGTTGTGAACTGATGAAAGCATGTGTAATACTTTTGATAGGCAAACAGAGGGGAGGGAGAGAAGGAAAGAAAAAGAAAGACCCAGCGCCCGCCTTTGATGCAGAGCGTTTATTTGCTGAATTATCCTTCCTTTAACAAGCATCTTATCCCCAGTCACAGGCAGGCCGGGGCCCCTGTGATATTGCTTTATTTTGAGGAATTAAGAGAGGTGGCGAGGAGACGAGCAAAGCAAGCGCTTATTACATTACCGCTGATAAGATTGAAAGGCAGAGAAAAGCAGGGAGCGAGAGAGAGAGACCCACAGAGAAAAGACGAAAAGCACAGAAGGAGAGAGAAATAGAGAGTGAGAACGAGGGACCCAATGGAAAGTGTTTTGTTGTGCTGTCATTAGATTGAGCTGCTGTTGGCTACAGAGAGGAACAACAGAGGGCCCAAAATGCAGGTGGCTGTTAACAGGGTTAGCCCCTCGTACCTGTGTGTGTTACACACATTTGTTTGTGCACTGCAGCAAAAACCTCGACAGCCTGTCGATCAGAGCGCTCGGCGAAGGCCGAGAAGAGGCGGTGGCCAAAGAGCTCCCACAATCCTCCTCTTCAGCATCACAGCCCTCGTGGCAGGTAAGGCGATGGTGGACTGAGAAACAGACATCAATTGGACTAAAAATAAGGGTCTGAAAATGGGAAGAAACACATGTATTAATTTTTTTCTGGGTTCAATGGACCCATTGGTTTTCACTTATGTTCTCTGTAACCCAAGATTGGAACATCTTGCATTTCAGAAGCTAAAAGTAAGTCTATAAGTAGGCCTAAAGAACAGATTTTTTATTATAGTTTGATTTCTAAATTAACTCGCTTGATATAAAATAGTTAGCTCAGTCATATGCTCTAGAGCATCGGCCACCAACAACACACACCTGATGTGAGTGGTTTGATAGAAAATAATAGTTGCATTTTAAAATACACACTTTAAAATACAACTATTATTACACATTGCTAGGTTGTCACTTAGAACAATTCCACTTTTTGTTTCATATTTACAAAATAAGGAAGGTTTTTATTTTTATTTTTTATTATTGCATATCTATTGAATTCAGCTAATAGCTTTAATGCAGGAATGCTGAGAGAAATGGGTAAACTTTATCCAACGAGACTCTATAGTAGAGTAGCATCAAACTTGCAAGTTAAAGGAGAGAAGCAATGAGGGAGAACCAAACCGGTTCTTTTACAGAACAAAGAATTAGCAACTGCAGTGGCAAAGTGTTGGAGCGGCCTTGTTGGAATCGCCCTAAGAGTGTGATGTCATGGGAAATATATCGATCCTATTTACAAATTACAAGAAGAAAACAGCTTTGTTCAGTAACCCTCTGCCCTCCCACCCCTGGAAAAAAACTGCTAAATGATGTAATTATATGTAATGAGGTAGTGAACGGTACCAGTGAGAGAAAGGGGAAATTAAGTGTTTCCATATGAGCATGCCTATACAGAGACATGCAGTCTTATTCAAACAATTTGAATATTATTGAAAAGTTCATTTATTTCAGCAACTCAGTTCACTAAGTTAAACACATTATGATGATTAATTACACTCTGTCTGGTGTTTTCAAGCTTTTGTTTCTGTTAATTAAGATGATTTTTTTTTTTGCCTACAGCTAATGACAACATGACATTTAAGATTAGAATATTACATCGGACCAATAAAAAATATATATTTTTAATAGAGAAATGTGGGCTTAATTTAAAGTATGTTCAATACCTGCTGAAAGATTGTTATTTTCAAAAGGTATTCTTGTCACAAGAATAGGAATTTCCTAATTAATTGAATATAACTGTATATAGGTATTACACTACAACGAGCCAAAAGGAATCCCTGAGCCGATACTCAAACCATCCAGCTACGCTTTCTATGTCAACTTTTAAAGATTTGTTTTCTGTCGTTTTGGGAGTAGCGTCTCCCGTTTAAGGAAACATCAGTAGGTGGAAAATGCAATCTTAGAAGATGAAACCCAAGCAGCAAAAAGGGAGAGAAGAAATAAGGGGGAACCAATTGAGAGAAAGCGAGAAAAGGGGTCTGCAGTCGTAGCGGCAGCATCACCAGCTGTGGGAGTGAGTGTGCTGTTGTGTTGCATCTGGGGATGAGCCTGCTATGCCACCGTGCTGGCTTAAAGATGTAATGAATCTTCAGTCGGGGGCTTTCCTTCCAGGGTGACAACTGGCTTTGAGGAAGGTTGTAAATGCAGGGGAGATTGTGGTATAATTCCTCAGACTGGCGTTTGTGCCCCCCAGTCACCATTCGATTATCTCCCAAATTGCTGTGTTTCACTGAGATAAAGATTTTTTATGGCTTGCTGACTTGAAACAACTAGCGCAGGCAGAATAAGGGGGCAAAGCAGGGAGAGGCAAAAAGAAAAAAAAAAATGATAGAAAAAGAGAAGCAATGGCCAAACCTGCCACGCATAGTAATTTCTTTTGGTAAATGACAAAATCTTTGTTTATATGACATTTCTTGAAAATTAGTGCAGCAAGATGAATCTGAAATATAAAATGTCACATTTGGCATGCAAAACTATGAAAATATATTTCTGTGCAAAATTCATGGAGGCATTTAATTTAGAACGTGTTTAATAACTAAGGCAGCCTGCATCAGTAATCCTGCCCGGAGGTCCCAAAAAGATTGTCATATTTATTCTCTCTTTTCTTCACCCCCCTCCTTCATTCCAAAGCCAAAATATTTTAAGGGTAAATGTTCATTGTTAATTAAGATTTACTAATTAAAATGAAAATAATTAACAAGAAAGCTTAATCTCTGAATATTAGCCTGTACTTAGAAAGAAAGGAAGTTTTTGTATGTGGCATTTCCTGTCTCCATTAAGAGTGCATTTTGTGTGATCAGTCAATGTGTGGAAAGCCCTCAAAAGATCTTTCAGCAAAGGGACGGCCGCTTGCCAGCAAAACCACAGAGAATCCCTCACTGGAGCCTTTGATCTCATCTGTAGGAGTGCTGTAATGTTATGGCACTTTAGGCACAACTCAGGCTTGGGGCAAACAAACCACCTCTGATATGGAAAATTGGCTCCCTTCACCTTTTACCTTCACCTTGCTGTCTCTGCTGTTTCCTATGATGCCTGTACAATCATTTGAGCCAGGCAATAACAATGCTTCCACAACGCACACGGAAAATTAGACGCAGGTGTGATGTTATTATTTTTTATTCCTCTTTTCTTTGTCTGCCCTCGTTCCACTCTTTCCTCCTCCTTTTTCTGTCTCTTCTTCTGCCTGCCTTGTCTTCCTATGTGGGAGCTTGGAGGCCTTCCCCGAGACGTGTGGGCTAAACTGCTTTGCCACCAGTTAAACAAATTTTACTTCTGCCTGTATTGTTTTTGGTTGTTTTGGAATCTAAAGATGCTCACAGTGGGAAGATTGAGAGGATAATCACTGAGGGAGTTCAGCTGCACACACCCTGCTCCTTGACTGACAGGCAAGGGTCATAATACTGTCATGGGTGTTATGACCCTTTACTAGCTGAATTTGTATTGTGTCCTTTCAAAAATATATATGCTTTATGACTCACAGGTTTAAAAAAAGAAAAAAAAAGTGATATTGGAAATCATAAGGAGAAAGTTCCAAAATCCATATAAGAATGTGTGTGTGTGAGAGAGAGTGTGTATCATTGATCGGTATGGAGGGTTTTAATTGCCAGACACTCAAACTATACCCTCAGGTCCTGGTTAACATACTGTATACTTAAGCACATACAATAAATAGGAATAAGGAGATGTAATTTACAGTGGATGACATGACTGTCTAGAAAGAATAGGACAGGATAATGCAATGTGATGCTATAAATCTCAGTATATATGAACACTGTAAGACACAAAACATAATTATACAATGGAATAGGATGGCATTATATGCCACATTTATTTTTTGTTTTTTATCCTATTCTTCACAATAGTGCAAATCAACCACTTGGTGTGGCAATAGGATTATGTTATAATGAAAATAATCAAACCCCCTTGAAATACAAGTAACTATATTTGGGGACAATACTAATTATCAGTATCAGCTAATAGATCTCTGAATGATTTTATATATATATATATATATATATATATATATATATATATATATATATATATATATATATATAACCTGGAAGAAATAGTTAATGCCATAATTCTTTAGATATTGATGATTTAAATTCTTTTTAAGACTTTAAGATAGAAGATACTGTTTCCATTAATTGTTTTATGGATGTCTTAATCATTTATTTAACGACCTACCCTACACTATAAAACAATGCACATATAAGCAAAAAAAAAAAAAAAAAAAAACATCTAGTCCTTGAAAGTTCATTTTACCACCGCAGGGTTTGCATGTTGAAAATCTTCTCCTGAATGGGCAATCTCACTTTGACAGCAGTTAATGTTGATGTGTTTTGAATGAGGTTTAAAGGCTATAACCCAATGAAGCTCATTAAATGGAGAATATTAGGTGTAGTGGGATTTTTATCAATACACTTTTCGGTATTAGAACGCCTTGTTACATTTCTCCACGAGTAAATTTAAGTTTTTGACTGATCAATCATTTTCTGACCGGTTCAAACTTTATAATTATAATGTCAAAGTGAAAACATATTTTTCAAAAATTAATGAAAGATCAAAATGAAGTCATTACTTTACAGAAGCCCCTTTGGCAGCAATTACAGCTTCTTGAGTAAGTCTTTAAAAGCCTTTTACACCTGGATTTAGACCGTTTATCCAAGTCTTCCTGGCAGATCCTCTTAAGCTTGAATACGCTGGATGCCATTTCAGGTACCTCAGCAGATGTTCGGCGGTTTAATACTGAGCTCTGGTTAGGTTTCCAGATGACACAGGTTTTCCTAAAAGGAAGTGTTGCCCTGTTTATTTGAACATCTCAAAATCATTGTCCTTGGTCTTGGCGAACTACAGTCCCGGGTTTTAATTGTGTAACTTCTGGAACGCATTTTTATGCATTTGTTTTTGAAAGAATTCACTACATTTGGGTGGGAAGACGCATCTCTGATCTCAATCGAACCCTCCACCATGGGGTTAGCATCTCCACATGACTTGCTCTGGTTCAAAACAGAGAATGAAAAGTCAGATTTCTTTATTATTCTAAAACCAGTCACTTAAAAATGTTTTCGACTGGATTGAAGCCCGTTACATGAGATTGTCCCAAAAATATTTTTTGGTATTTAAATGACAAATTTTTCAGTTTTTGGTGCAGTTCATCCCAAATTATAGCTGGGTAACTTAACATTTTGTAGTAGGCCAATAAGTGCTGTGCTTGCAATCATGTTAATGTGTTCTAATAATGTTATTCACTTTGTAAGCAAGTATTATGGCCAATAAAATTTTGGGTAAGAACACAGATGACCTTTTGTCTCTATTAAAATTAAAAAAAAAAAAAAAACATGCTTATAAAATATGGAGACGAAACGTTTGCTCATCCTTTTGTTCTTCTATTTCTTCTTCATAGGGGGACCAGGGAGCCCTTCTCCAATCTATAGAGGTGTGTGTGTGTTGCCTGAGAGCGGCAAGAGACAAGCTTCCGCGAGGTCTCTACTCTATCAGAGTGGCACTTCAGAGCACTTTAGGAGGTTCTTCTCTTCACCTGCGCAGTTCGAAAGAGCAAACCTGGTCGGCGTCCACTGAGCCAGTCGAGCACCGAGGCCGTTTCTACGACAATGACCTGCATATTAACCAGAGCGTCTTCATGGTGCCGCACACTGACTTATTTCATAACACAATGTAACAGTGTAATAAATAGCAACATGGTGGGATTTGGTTGTAGACAAAAAAAAACAAAAAACATAGTCCGAACTGCATGCATGACTTTTTAGCTTTCTTTCTTCCTGGTAGTTCTTTCAATAATGTTTGATTTATGGCTCTAAGTGGCTGCCATCCAGATTCACTTTAAATCCGAAGTGTTCCTTGGTCATCCTGATGCATTTTGTTCACTAGAGTTATCTTACAAACCATTGAGACTTTCACAAAACATCTGTATTTAGATAAAAGTGGATTTTACTTGCGAATTGGATAATATCTTACTGCAGTTGTGCGCACTAAATATTATTTAATGTTATGAATATGAAGATGGCTACACTCAAATGCAATCCTCACTTTTTGATTCTTTTTCATTGTAAGATAATCAAAAGCTACTCTTCCGCAACACTGTGTTGGTGTACTCCACAGAAAACTATGACTGCAACATAAAATGTGAAAAAGTTCAAGTAACATCTGTCTTTTTGCTTGTTTATGTTAACTTGTTAAAAATATGAAGCCCTCTTTTTCATAGCGGAAGAATCAGCGTGTTATTCAATGTTGGGCCTTTTGAAGATCAAATCTGAGCCCATTTCACAATCACTCTCTTAAACCTCTTGAAAAGAAGCCATCCTCGGTTTATGCATAAGCTGCTCTAATCTAAAAAAAAGAAAACCTACACTTATTCTGGATGGTTGATATTGACCAGTGGATTAGATTCTGTTTATTCATTGATCATATGTGTGCGGGACAAAAGATTCACATGCAAAAAAAAAAAAACCCCTTAAAATAGACTCCTTTAAATTCAGTGTCCCATCGGATTCTATATAGTGGTGTATGTATGCTCTGTTTTCTAATGGCATCTGTTGAAGGCCTATGTGGAGCTTTCAGCACATGTGGACACTGTTGATGTGCTTGTGGGCGTATTCACTGAGCCCAAGCTCCCTGATAATATTGTCTCCAGCTTCCATCTGACATAAAGCATGGGGTAAAAGCTGGCATGAACTGAAAGCAGACCTGGAATCTGAAAAAAAAAAAAAAAGAACGCTTAAGTACAGCATAGTATAAATGCCTTGTGTCACTCTTCTTCCCCTCCTCTTCTCCCTAAACTGTGAGCTGTGCTTTATAGACAAACCAGCTGTTGTTATTCACATTGACAGCGGTGGAAATGCTGATCAGATTTGTATGAGACCACTAGCTTAAATGTTTTTTTTTCTTCTCTTCCCTCCACTTGCCCACACTATAGCGTGCGATTTCAGAAGTACATGCAGTCCCTTCTAAGAGGAAATGAGGAATTAGTGATGGTAGAGGGAGGCCAGGAGCTTATTTTCCCTTCCTCCCTCTCTATCTTTCTTTCTGTCTCCCCCACTTTTCTTTCATTCACCACTTGTTTTGTCTGCCTGGGCCGGATTAAGGCGGAAACAGTTGAGTGTCAAGCTTTTCCAGGTGAGTGGGAACGCCTTGGTGGAATTGACGGAGAGTCTGAATTTCATTTTACGGCAAAGACAGAATGACGTGGATGTGGTTTTAGTGTTGGAGTAAACAAGCAGAGAAAAAAACAAATAAAAAAAAAACAGGATCCATTCATTTGGTGTTTTCTTGTTTCCTGTGCTTTACTCAGTGATTGCAGGACTTGCAGGCATTTTTTTAAATGTATTCATTACTGTGTTTCCATATGAGTGAACAAATGTTGTCATGAAGACCAAGGAACACGCCAGAGAGGTCAGGGTTATAGGTGTACAGAAGTGCAAAGCAGTGTGATAATATACAACATTTCAAATTTTAAACATCTCATGGGGCACTGTTTAATCAATTATCTGAAAAATGGGGGAAACAAATACAGAATATAGATAAGAAGTGTATTTTTAAAAAATGCAAGTAAATCAGGAGATGCTTCAGAAATCCACACTGGAAGTTTTTTTTCAAATAGAAAAACTACAAGACTACAAAACATGGTTGTGACATTATGATGGCATGTTTATGCTTTCCATTGGCAAGCAAAGGGAAGCAGGTCAAATTTCCTAAAAAGCTGGAAAAAGGATCAGATTTCTGTTGCAGTTCATGTTTCTGCAGACTTAGAACCATCTGACTGAGATGGGGCTGTTTTGGAAAGAAATTTTGCAGGAAATTGTTGCATCTAAACAGGTGAAGCTGGCACACTCAAGACTTGCAGCTGTGATTACAGCAACGTCGTCTTCTGAACAATACTACATTCCTTTCAGTTCACAATTATGCAGTGAATTCAGACTTATTTCTGAAAGTTTGTGGTTTAAATACTGCATACATACCCAAATAACTGTGTAAAAGCAAGCACTTTAAGCACACATACCCACACTACAGAACACTTCTAGTTGAGGTCATATTTCCCACAGTAAATGAATTATATAAATATCCTCAATATTCTCAATATCTGTAATCCGTGATATTGTTCCATAAATTTATGTCTTGAGTCACACGCCACTAACCGTCGTTTCACCGGTGTGTCCCAGATTCGGTGTGTGATACACATGATTTATGCGTTAAAACAAGTCCCCTGCATTTTCCATTACGACTAATAAAGGGATAAAATATTTTCTACTCAATGATGGATGAAGTGGGGCACACTTCACTGTCAGTTCATTTTTTAAGCAAACCCCTACCGTTCTCTGGGTAAATAAGCATGCGTGCACTTGCCGTTGAATGCTAACCACCAACACTTTTTGCTTTGTGCAAGACACCCGTAATATTATGAATTTGATTTATGGTGGCCTTACTGGATCTCTAATTCAGTAGCTGTCAGTTTATACTACAGTGGCAATCTGAAGCTCCCCTTTCCACGCCGCCTGTATCTGTGAAATAAATGCTTTTTGGCAAATGTGTAGAAATAGAAGCCCTTCCAGTTAGAAGGAGGCCACTAAGAAAATTCCTAATATTCATGACTGCCGTCCTTTCAGTGAATATTTACTCCTCTTCCTTTCTGTAGATTTAGGACAATAATATAAGCCCATCTGTTTCTTATGCAAAGGTGGACCCTATTTAACAGTCAGGTGAAGGCTATTGGTTGCACTGGCTTTTATTTGAGAAACAGGAGGGTCGAATCCAAATTTGTGTAAACTTTGACAAAACATGTTTTATTTTCACATGACAATTATGTATTGTGTTAAAGCTACAGTCTGTAACTTTTATGAAAAACAAAAACAAAATATCTTTTTTTTCCCCTTTTTGAGGCATGTGCTTGTAAAATTGCAAACTAAACACAGAGTGTATCTGTTCCTCATGTTTCTGCAGAGCTTACCTGCCACCTCTGAAATCAACCCCTCCATGGTTTTGCTGTTCCAACTGATCAGCCTTCCTGGACACAGTAGCCATTTTAGCTCTGTACTAGCCTGGGGAGTATTTCCTGTATGCAGCGTGAGTCTGAGTCCGGTCCAGGGCAGGTAAGTCAAGTATGAAGTTTCCACAGTAAGTACCTATAAACTAACGTTTTTAGTACAGTTCCGTTTGGAATGAGAAAGAGACTGGAGAACAACATGTCCAAACTGTTAAAAAAAACAAACAAAAAAAAACATCTGCAGCTTTATTTATATAATGCTTCAATCTAGTTGAACCATCAAAGTTTTTGGTTGCCAATAATGATGTATTATCGTCTTAGATTCAAAACTCCACTGATCAGGGGGGAGCCCAGCCCACAGCTGGACCAGTTTAAAAAAATCGAAGCTATCATCTCCTCCGATCTAGACCACTGGCTGTGCAACCTGTATTTTCAGGTGGGTGTTCTTTTCCCCTGGTTTGGTTCTTTAAAGAATCTACAGTTTGCTCATTCATTTTATTTTTTTAATTATTATTCCATTGCACATTAAACATTTAGGGCTGGTAGAATGCATGTGCCTGAAGTTTAAAAATACAATCCATGTTTCATTATTTAGGCTGTTATGGAAAGTCCAGCGGGCGTTGGACGTTTAGATGTTTCCTATGAGAGAAAAGCATTTACAGAAAAATTGGAAATTGTCCCCAGACAGAAAACAAAACCCACATCTTTACCCAATAATTCCGGATGCATCTAAGCTGATGCATTGATTAGATTAGTAAACACTGTAATCAAATTAAAAAACCAGAACAATGCTCTCCCTCTTCTGTGTTTGCATCTTTATCCCTTTGACTTCGACATGCTGTTTGTATTACTATATCGTTACTGTGGTCTACTGTTGCTTCGACTCTTGTGGGATATGTTTGGTTGTCTTTGCTAATGCAGGATACAGAAAAAAAAGGATGCTTACAGAATTAACTTTGTAGCTATGGGGCCCACTGTCAAAAATATTAGCAATATTATAAATTGATTGATTATAAAGGACAAAAAATGTGTATGAAGAGCAATGACATGTTTACTGAATTTATACTTAGAGTTCAGACAGTCTGATTGTTCTGTGATTTTCTTTTCTTTTTCTGTGTGTTTTAGGTAAAGAGAATGCCACTCGGAACATCCGGAGGGACAGAGTTCTTTGTTACACCATCGAGATTCCTCTCCAACCCTAAAATTGTATCCAAACCCGAGGATCACCATGACCTGACCCTTACCCAGCGACCCACATCCCAGTCTCAGATTTGCCCACATCCCCTTCTTCTCCAGTCCCAGCAGCTTCTGCATGTCGGCCCCGGCTGCAGAGCGGGAGAGTCCACGGTCGTGCTCTCTCAACACGGTTCACCTCTCCACCTGTCAGCTGATTCCGCTTGCTCTTCTTCATCTCTGCCAGGTAGGAGTCCAAAGCTAAACTTTGCGCCCCCAAATTATGCCACAGTGGGGGAGAAAATGTCACTCTAATGTCTTGAGCTGGGGGAAAAGAAGAATGGCAGTTCTCGCATACACCGACTCTCTCTGCTGGGGTGAACGTGCCTTGGGGTAAAGTTAAATAAAGAAAGGGAGCGGAGTTTGCATAAACAAATGATATTTTCTTTGTATGATTACGTGACAAAACCCAACAGACACAATGTGCATTTCTTTTAGGCAAATATCAAGGCTGGATGCTCAATACTGATTGTTAGTGATAGCATTCTGATGAATACCATTGTGGATTTCACCTGTGAACAAAAAAAAAAAAACATACCGACATTGAACGCCCTGGAAAAGAAGTCCAATTAGTAGTTGCTGGAAATTACACTAAATAACAGTAATTAGTCCAGCAGTGAGGCCAAGGGATTTATCCCTAAACACAACAACACGAATAAGGAAACAAATAGATTAATTTCTGTTTATCACAGATAAAAGACACTTATCATGGTTCTCTCATGTAAGAAAAAGGAACAGCATGACAGTAATGTACATTGTGAATGTATTTTCAAAAGCTTTTCTCTGTGCAACAAAACTAAGATGTGCTGTACATTGTCAAATACTGTCACAGCTTCTTAACCCTAAGAAGCCGTAGGGGCAAATTTGCTTGCTCGTTGCTTGCAAGCAAATTTTAATTCAGCATTGTTGTCAGACGGGTCAAGTCTGGAGACAACCCTCTGAGATCTACTTTAAGGAAGTGGGTTCCTAACAGCTTAAGTTGTGTTGATCATTGGCATTGTTTGCCACTGAGCTAGGAAGGTTATGTTGAATGCAAGTTTAAATTTTTTTAACTAAACTATTTAAAGCTAAACACAAACTTTGTCATACCAAATAGTTTTCTCTACCACATAGCTAAGACAAAATATTAACTTTTATTATGTTCAGCAGCTAAAAAAAACAAACAAAAAAAAGAACAGAAATAAGTTTAAATTCTAACAATTTTCTTTTAACGTCACTTTACTGTCATGCTCTAAACTACCATGTTAAAAAGAAACACAATAACTGGGATTTAATTCAGATGACAACAACAACAATAATAATAATAATAATAATAATAATAATAATAATAATAATCCCTGACAACCACAGCTTAGGTGTGCAGCTCATCAGCAGGAAATCCCTTAGGCATAACAAGTCCTATAGAGCAAGTCAGACTTTAGCTTTAGGACTGTTGCCAAATTAGTTACTTATGGATTGAAACTTAAATTATTGCTCCAACAAGACAAACCTTTGCAACTGAAAATAATACAAAAGTTTCTGACTTACCTGTAGATGATACTTGAGTCCACAATAAAACAAATATATGGTAGACATCTCTGTCTATTTGAGAGGAAAGTTTTACTGAAGGTACATCTGATTCAAATGGTTTATGTAAATTTAATGTTAACAACGCTAATATGTAATGGTAATATGTAATACCCTTATGGTTGATCAAATTCTTTGTTGAGCAGGTTTGTGGAGGCATCCTTTTTTCTCTTTCTTTCTCTTCTTTCTTTTTGTCTTTATTTCTTTTTCTCTTCTACCTATCTTTTTTCTCTTTCTTCCTTTCTTTTTCTTTTTCTTCTCTTTCCTTCCTTCCTTCCTTCTTTCTTTCTTGCTTTCTGCATGTACAGCTCATCTTTATTTAACAGTTCTCAAAAGTTTCTGGGGTGCTCTGCTTTAAACATCACACAGGCTTTTTAATTACAAATGAGTTGTGACAGGTCTGCTGGGTAGTACCCTGGCCCATTTTAAACGTGATGCCGGCTGACAGCTTGGCAGTGTTCTCCCAGCACTGAAACATGTGGAAGAAATTGGTCTTTTACATTTCACAGCTTGTCGCTTCCTCCGCTAGCTGACCTGTGACCCCCCACAGAGATCCTAACACCCACAAGGGAAGTGTCCCCAATGAACTGACTGCATTTCCAAAGAGAGAGAAGGAGAGCGAGAAACGCTTTTACTATGTGGGGATTTATGTTCAGCCACATAAGGCAAAATTCAGCAGATCTGCTCGCCGAGGAAACAGTGCATGCTTCAGCATGCACGAAAACACACACATACACACACCTCCTCGCAGTCAGGTGAAGAGGTTGCTTGAGAAGTGAACTCGATCCGGCGAGTGAAATAATGGATCAAAAGGTGTCCCGCACAACACCTCATCTACGCCGCTCCCTAAGCCAATCTGACGTTTGGGCCTCATTTGCATACAGATCAGTTCAGGTTGCATTACCTCTGGAGTGAATTATGGCGTTCAGATGGGGCGATATGTCAAGGCTGAGCAGGGCGATTGGATGGACAACTTTAACCTAGCCAAAAATGGAAATCCAATTCGGTCAGGGAAAAGAAAAAAAAAACGAATTATCCCCAGCTTCTCCAGTTCTTAGTCAAGTCGGGGGGTTTCAGACATTTCCTTTCTATTTCATGCTTCCCTGTTTCTGACGCTGATGTGTGCTGTGCGGTGGGATCACTTTCTCGGTGCATGTAATGCCTGGATTTTCCTTAATACCTATTTGTCTCAGAGTCGGGACAAGTACATAGAGACTTCTTGTCATTTGTAACGTCATAACACACAAGGCTTGACATTGAAACATTAAGTTTGCGATCCTGAGGCCTTAAGTTAATTAATTCCTTTTGTAAAAAAAAAAAGAAAAGAGAAGAGAAGAGAATCACTACACTTGTCATGTATTAACAGAACCAAACCTGACATCCTAATCTAGAATAATACCGCTGACAAGTTGTGATCATAGAGTCAGAGCATTACTGCTGTTGTGTGTGAACTCATCATTTCGTGTTGCAGGAGAACTTGTAGTTCCGTGATCATAATCTGATTTACCTCAGATGACTTGCCAGAGCATAATGAAGTGTATTTAGTATTTTGGGTGATTCGCTAGAGGCACACTGGGTTAACTGACCTTTCACATTAACAGAATGATCCAGTTACACTAGGTTTGTTTGAGCCCAAGTGACAAATTAGATCAGTGTCTCATTTCACCATGCCTGTAGTGGATCATGATGAGGATGCCGATGACGCTTTGTTGCTTTTTCAATGAATTTATCTTAACATCCAAGCCCCTCATCACTCAAGATGATATCAGGGACTCCCTTCATCTAAAGTCTTATTTGGAGCATTCCCATTTCAGGGTGCTCTCCCCTTTACTCCTAGTTATCAGACTTTCAAATCATATTGTCGTGTCGATCCGTTATTCTGTATGTGCCCTCGGCAAACTTAGTTAAAAAAAAAAAAAAAAAAAAAAAAAGATTTTAAGGATATTCTTGAAATCCCTTAATAAGATTATCACATTTCAAAACCTTTTGTGATATTTATATGCAAATAAAGCTGGAAAACCTTTCATGGAAAACAAGATAAATGCTACCCCTAAAACTTTTTTCTTGCAATTTCTTTCTAATTGCAGCCACACCCTTAGTTTGTTTTTTGAGCTTTTTTATTTTTACATCTACAGATTGTGGCATGGATTTATTTTCAAGTCCCTGTTTGCTCTGATACTACTAATAAAGTTCAGTCCATACTGACTCATGCCACTAAATTAGTGGAGTCCTATCTAACTTTTAAATAAATTGTTCATTCTACGTCCAGCTGGTACTGGTATATTGGACACTGTTGTTAAACAATGAACTTCTTGAAAATCCATGGACACACACCAGACAGGTTAGAAATAAAGTTCTGGAGACGTTTAAAGTGGGTTTAGGTTATAAAACAATGGGAAAGTGGTGAAATGATAGCCAACAGCGAAAGAAATCTCTAATAAATGCAATTCAAAGTTTGCCAAAAGCCCTCTAGGAACCTGGCAAACATGTGGAAAAGGTTCTCTGATGGGATGAGTAAAATGTTTTGTTTTTTTTTTTCCGTTTATGCAACATGCTATATTCATATCACATCGCCACAAGCCCCTCATCACAGAGATACAACATGGTAGGCGTGCTGCTTTTCTTCTGCAGTCACTCTCAATCCAGTCTGACTGTAGCTAAGATACTTTGCAAAGAGATATGGACAAAAGCTCATTTAACTCTCCACAGCTATTCATATCAATGAAATTCCAGCTAAATGGCTTCAAAATATTGACTTGGAGCGGCTAAGTGTAAATCCACAGAGATATTTGTGGATTTTTATTTGCAAAAAATGTTGGAATCCATGTATCATCATCTTTCTGATTCACAAACATAACCTAAAAGAATATACTTCTGCAAACACTTTGAGCAAGAGCTTGAACACAAATGCACACCACACTTTTCAGATCAGTTTTTGTGTAAAGTTTACACAAGTGATAAATCATTTCACGATGCCTTTGCTTTGTGTGCGTCCTCTGGAGTTTTGTGTTTGTTGTTGTGATGTGGCAACGTTATGAAAACGTTGAAGGGAGTAAATACGAACTCAAGTGTTAAGTTAGTGTCTGCCACTGTAATTAAATTCCAGTAGATTAAAAGTAAACACATTCTTGCTTTAAGCAACACCCAAACATTGCAGTGCTACAGCAAACTTTAGCACGAGATCCTAATAGGGACTCCAGGCTAATGTGCGAGTTGATAACCTTTGTTTCTCCAGCAAATCTTGGCCAGTCATCATATAAAATTATGGACCTAGGTGAGCAACGACTGGCATCTGACTCCGGTTCCATCTCACCGTTAACACAGTAATGGGGTCTCTACAGTGGTGCAGCCTTCAGGCTTTTCCTTCCCTCAACCTGACTTTGTTTGTAAGCTGTACACTCGTATATTTCTACCCTCGAAAATGCTTGTGCATGTATGCAAGTGTCGACATTGATGTCTTTGCCTTTTTGGTGTGTGGGTGCATCGACGCAATGTGTGCGTGTGTGTAATGGACGAGCATGTGTACCAGTCTTAACATAGCTCAGAGCACTAGGGGAAGAACAAGGAGTTTGTTGTTGGCCTTGGGTGCCCAGAGAGGCTGGAGTTGTGGCAGCTCCAGTCCTCCGAGTTCACGGTCGTAGCCCTCAGCTGTCAAGGCAGTCGATGCTGCCTCCGCACTGGTTTTGGTTCCACAGCATCTGACCATTAGCAAGCGGGGCCTCGGTGTAATGAGTGTGTGCGTTTGGCTGCATGACTTTAGACGGCGTTCGAATCCGTGGGGGCTGAGTCTGCGGAGTACGTGCACGGTTGTTGATGCTGCTAATGGTGGCCGTGATTCCTGTGCATGTTTGTGTGCACTCATGCAAATGAAAGGTGGCGGCGGGTTGCATCACTCTTTCTCAGGTTGTCTGCACATGCACAGAGACTTTGCCGACTGTAACAAAGTATAAATTAACCCAACAAAGCTCGCAGAGGATCACGTCTAATTTGATTCCATTCTTTTCTCAATATGTTGTCCTTTTATTGTTTCTTTCACCTGTTTTATGGCTCTTTGAATTGTTTCGAAATTCCTTGACAACATTAAGGTATGTTTATGCCAACACATGACTTTGATATACAACAAGAGATGTTAAAAATTAGTATTAGAACAAAAGTAAAGCATAAAAATATAACCCTAAAAATTATTCACATTTCTGTAATATGTGAATACAGGACCTTCAAACAAAAAGTCTTTTTTTTTCACCATTCATATGTAGTACATTTTAGCTGTCAAAAAGATATTTTATGTTTAAGTCATTATTACTGATATATTTAATCCTGTGGCAAGAGAAGAAATTATATCTTCCCTGAGTTTTCCATATGTATTATATAGATGTGACTGGTTTCATGAGGGGGCCAAAAGTTTCAGAGTGAGATTTTTACACGTATCAAGCTAAGGTTTACTTAATTACAACCTCCAGGCAAAGCAGGAACCCCTTTTTGAAATTCTGTGAATGTTAATATGCTAAATAATGCAGATCCTCGACTCTTCAAGCATGAGACACACATCTGGTGGCTCACCGTTTAAATTACAGCAAGAAAAAGTCAGACAGAAATAGAAAAAAAAGGTCGAAAGAATTAAAGAATGAAAAACACTGCAAATGGGATTTTGCTGAGAAAATGAGAAAGGATATAGCTTCAGAAATGTTGTTAATTTCTTTTTGGCAGAATTTTTTATCATTTCTAATTGCATATTTTAAGCATTAAATTACTTGAAGATCTTGTCTCCGCAATATTAAACTGTGATAAAATTCAAAAGAAATAATAGGTTGTTTGTAATTATAAGACTTCAAAACTTTTTATTCTTTTATTTTATTTATTTAAATTATTTACACTTGATGTAACATCTGAAACAATGCAAAGTTTGGACAATCAAAGATGATGTTTTTACATTTGTAACATTTCTGGCAACTATCAATAGGTAATCTACAGATTTTGCAGTATAAACTTGTACTAACTAATATTAAACAAAGTCTTTCATCTTAGCATCCAGTTTGCAGATTTAGTATACATTCTTTCCGTTTTGGGATGCAGGGAAGAATGACTCCCCAGAAGTCTTTTCGGGAGGCGCAGCAGAGAAGACCGATCCGAGCCAGGAGAAAGCAGAAGTTGGCTTTCAAAACAAGGTACCGCTGTGATTTAAGGGGATGTGTTTGACCCTTTAAAATGAGCTGCTTCTCCCTTTTTTCCTTCCTCTACCATTTTCCTCCCTCTCCTTGCCCCGTCTCTCCACCCTTACTTGCACCTCCCCAGCTTATTATCTGAGATTTGTCAAAATACATTTCACACTAACAGGTATTTTTCAGCCTTCAAAGCCAGTTTTGATCTGCTTGACAAGCCAGAGCAGCTCAAATTCTGTGAAATCAGCAATGCCAGCGAGGCCTCCTTCCTTCCTTTTTTTTTTTCTTCTTCTTCTTCTCCAAAAGGCTTTCTTAACCTGCTTCTTCCTGTTCAACAGAAGACTTAAGCTAAATTAATCAAAGCCTGCATGTTACCTGCTAAAACTTTGAAGTGGTAATTGCAAAATTACCGTGTGTGTTGATCCGGCGTCGCAGGCTCTCGGTCCGCCCCTGCCATTGTGCCTCTTGAGTCGGCCTTTTGTTTGTTGCAATGTTATTGTTGGGGCAGTTAGAAGTCTGTGAACAACATCAAGCTTGCCTTTCTCTCACTCTCTTTTGCATTCGCATTTTTACCTCTCCCGGCTCCCTCCTCCATGCCTTACAAGTCTTTATTGTTTCTAACCTCTTTTGGCCGATCTACCAGAGACTCCTCAGAAGACCATTAATCAGCAATGTCCCGATAAATAAACGAGTTTGTTTATATGAGGTTTTTATTTCCCCGTGACCATTTTTTTTTCCTTCTCTCTCTTTTCCCCAACACTCTACCCCCCATCTTTAAAAACCTGGCTAACTCTGTCAAACGTCGCGGTGTGGAACCCAGTTGTCTAATGATTAAGTGGAATGATCTCCAACCTGCCCCAGCCTGGGAGCACTAGGGATCAGATTTCAGCCCTTCAACCTGCAGTGCAGGCCTAATTAAAATGAATTTTCTCCAGGCAACCCTTTTGCCCACGGGGCAGGAATCCAACTATACACTGAATCCACTCTTAAGGTATTGCATTAAATTTATTGTGGGGAGACACTGGAGAACATTGTGGTTTATATATCTCCTGCATTTTTCTTTTCTTCTCGTCTCGCTCCTTTCTACCTTTTTATTGTGATCATCACTCTGGAATCCAAGCTTGCTTTGGCAAAGATTGCCCTATGAAAACGAATGGAGCTTTTATGGGACTCTGCCCATTTACTACTTCCTGGGCCTAGTATACAGCACGAGGGGAGAGACAGAGGGCAGAAAAAAAAAAAGAAAGATGAAATAGGGAAAGGTAGAATGAGGGAGGGGTGTTAGAGGAAGAGAGAGAGAGGTTTCTTATTCCAACTGTGGATCTCATTAACATACATCAGTGTGTATGTCACAACTTCAAGCAGAAAGGCACTAAGCCCACCCAAGGGCAACACAGACAGGCTTGACAGGGCCAGGCAAAGCAAGCCGTTAACATGTTGGCGGCTTAAAAAAAAAAATCTTCTCCCAAGTACCTTGGTGAAAAATTTTAAATCCCTCTTCCTGACTGTGTTTATGATGATGACAGTAAACGGCTCGTGTGCAGGAGAGGGGAGGGGGAACAAAAACAAAAAAAACTAAAAAATCTGCGCCAGCTGCTCTAACATCACGTATTTAACGCCGCCGTCACTGTGCACACACTTTCCGAACGAACCCGACTTGAAGGATGGTGTGCGATTTTGCAGTCACTCTTGTCTCGCGTCAGTAAAGGCGCTGGTTGAGATTTAGGAGAAGCCTCCCAAAATGCCACACACACACACACACACACATTGTCACAGTCACCGTGTGCATCCTCCAAGATAAATTCAAAGGCCTGTTTCCTGCTTTGATTACAAATGACATCCGTATGTGTTCTCCCTGATTCCTGCTCCTCACAGAAGAAGCCAATCAAGAAGACAAATAGCTGCGGCCCCAGCATGAGCGGCAGAAGCGCGCCGCCTCTCCAGGCAGACAAACAGAAGATGCAACCAACAGTGGAGAACCTCTCCTTGGAGGAGATGGAAGGATATACTTTCTTTTTACAGTAAGTCTCAATAGGTATCCATCCTCTTGCTTGGAAAATCAAGATCACATCAACCAAACAAGATGATGATGAGAAAATACACTGTGACTGAGAGAGAAAATGAGAGATAGAGAGAAAGAGAGAAGAAAGACCACATCTATTTCCACTGCTGATACAAAAAAAATGGTTGAAACATCTTAAAACTAAAAAACTAAGGAAACTTATCACTGATTAAAGTACATTCACTCTAAGAAATGTCTGGTAAGAACACTGCAAAAACAGGGAATCTTACCAAGATATTTTAGTCGAGCTTCTAGTGACAATTTCTTATAATGCAATAAGATCAAACCACATTTCAAGTAACTTTTCAGCAAGCTGTAGGAGCTGTTTTTAAGCTCCTACAGCTTAAAAAAGCCATAGGATTCTGGTTCCAATAATCTGCCAATGGAACAAGACATGTTTTCCCATGTTATACGTGAAAATGTCTTGCTTAACTTGCAGATTGTTTAATAAGTTTTGTAGTATTTCAAGTGTACTAAGATGTCTCCACTAGAAACTAGAAGAATAATATGTGGTTAGATTTTACAGTGAAATACTTTTTTTTAAAATTAATCAGCGTTGAAGAAATCATTTTAAACCCGACTCTAAGACGTCAGAGTGTAAAGAAACTTCCAGATACATTAAAATAACTTGTAATTTTCTGTATCTTTGGCATGTGGACATGAGGTGCCACAAAGGCCTATTTACCTTAGCGACGCTTCATAATAGGAAAAACAAAAGAACATGAAATGTCAATAAAACAGAGAGAGTTGTGGTTATAAGACAGGAAATTACTCAAAAAGAAAACCAGGTACTTGTGAATATCTACATTCAGAGATGAACCTAAAAAAAATCAGATCTCCAGGAGACTATAATAATAATAATATTTTAACAGGTAGTTTGGACGTGTTATGAGAGGAAAATCTGTAATTTTAAAACAATCAGAGATGTTGCAGGATTATTAGTCAAATTGCCATTTTGGTTTCTTGTGTTTTATCCTTCTGTGTCGTCTGCACAGAAATACTTCTTTGTCCCAGAAAAACGCTTCCAGACAAACAGCTTACATATACAATTGACAAAAAGCCATGCTCTTGCTCACAGGATGTTTTGTTCAAGCATCATAAATAATATACAAAACAATTAGGAATACATAAAATTAGAGTATATTTATGGCCCTTTGTTCCTGCATTGAATTAATTCATGGAATTAGTTTAATTGGTATGAAGTTGTTTATTTATGTTACTCACAAAATGGAAGCAGGAAGGGACAGAATGGTGTTGATGAAAAGGGGTAGAAAAGGAGCAATTTAACTTGAAGTCATTTGATAAATACTTCTATGACTTTAATTGGAATTGCATATTGGTCAGAAAGAAAGAATGAACTTTTCCACTACAAATAAACAGTACGACAGGTGGGTTTGAATCTGACCTGTGTTATGATGATGTAGAGATGATTTTGTGGGCCAGATTTTGTTTCAAAGACCCTGGAAACCTTGCTGGAGCTCATCAGAATTTAAAGATAATTTTGTGGAGTTAAAATATCCAAAACAGTCATGGCAAATCATCAATATTTCAATTTCTTTCACAAAGATTCAAGCTTATTTTAAGACAAAGTGAAGACAATTCTTGTTTATTTTGTACATCAGGTTCTCTCTTCTGTCTTCACATGTACACTATTTCCCTCCTCCCAAAGTACAACAAAGTAGTTTTGAAACTTCCAAGTCCTTTTTTTCGTTTTTTTTTTTTTTTTTTTTTTTTTTTTGTCCTCAGTGTTGCTTTGAGCATTTCATTTTAATTTAAAAAATGAAAAACAAATAGACCAGAGAATTTCAAACAACGTTGGTCATGTTCATCTGAAGCAACAAGGCAAGAGCATCAAAACAGCCCAAAAGTGAAATAGTCTATTTCAACTCCAAAGTCACAGGTATTTGTTTTTCATTTGAACTCCAACTAAATTAAGGGGAGGAGAGGGAGACTCTGTATGTGCAAGAGGAACGTAAAGCAAATTCTCCCTGGAGATTTCCGAGTACCCTTGTTTCTGCATTTCTGGGAGTTTGTAATTTATAGCTGCTGGTCACACATTAAACAAGATCAGAGACTACTCCCTGACATCTTCTGCACATACTCAGGGAATTCGAATGATTACCAGCGTATCCTGCCAACAAATGACGACACAGGGACTGTCTTGCGGGGGTGTTGTGTCGGGGGGTGGGGGGGGGGGAGTGCAGGGGAGCGAATACAAAACGAGGACAGAAGCCGAGCAGACTGCACACAAAGGGACACAATTAAATGGTTTTCACGATTATTCATAGTGCTGCTTTTTACCTCTGAGCAGTCGTCGGCTGGGTGAGATGAGACGTTGCTGTCAGTTATACACACGAGTTGTATTGAGTAAGAACTTCAGCTTTCCCCCTGACGCCCTGTGAAGGTGCTGCAGCTATTGATTTCATCTTTGCAAGCACTCACTTTACAGTAACTCTGAGCTAAAAGCTCCTCTTTGCCCTCACCTAATAAGACTATTAGAAAGGTACAGTGCAGGTGTTAAATTTTTACAACCAAGGCAGAGACACTGCAGTATGAAGCTCAAACCATCTAACCATAATTCCCTGTGTTGCTGTGGGCTTCTCTGTGTCTGCAGGGCTCACAGATATCTGGACAAAAGATTTTTATTTTTGTAATTTTTTTCAATGGATTCATTTTATGTCTTTATTTGCTGTCATTTTATCACCGTTTGTTTTGGCTTTGTCCCTATGTCTATGCTTTTTTTCTTTTTTTGAGCGTGCACATGAGAGTGTTTGCTTGTGTTTCTGTGCTCTGTGTATATTGTCTACATGAGTGCACCGGATGCGCACATACACGTCTGCATATTCATGTGTTTTAAGTGCAAAGCGGATTCATACAGCAGTGATTGAGGGATCTTACTGCCATCTATTGAGCCGCACGAGGCTTAGCTCATCGGGACTTTTATGGGGCGTCCTGACACAAATGTGCAAATCAGGGGCTAATGCATAATTAAGCAAACACATGGAAACACGGAGATTCAGATCAGATAGCGCACAGATGACAGAAATGCGGTAAGATAATGCATTTCTATAAAAGTCAGAGTGGGGACTTCATTCTGCTTGTAAAATAAATGTGCAGGGATGTATTGAGCTTAATATGCACTGTAGAACCCCATGAAATATTTATGTAAGGGAATAATTTACTGAAACTGGCCAAACAATAGTTCTAGTTTAGATAAGGAGACAAATACTTTATGAAAATAAAGACATATGACACAAAACAGATAAAAGTGGCTATCTATGAGTAGTCTTTTTCCTTTGTTTATTTTATTATATAAGAATCTTAAACTTCAACATATTTTATCAGAGCAACCAACATAAAGTATCTTAATGTGTAATTGTGAAGAGGAAGAAAAATTATATGTGGTTTTCAGCACTTTTTGCAACTAAAGTTTTCAACTACCCTTAATGATTTTTCCCCCCTTAATGCTATTCTGTGAAACCAACTGCTTAACTAAAGAAACTAGATCATTACAAAGAGAGGCCCCTGGTAATCCTGGAGAAGTTGTAGACGATCAGAGTTTAGGCGGGAGGAATTGTTCCAATTTGGAATTGAAAAAAGCCACAAGAGATCACATGAGAACAAAACAAATAGATGAAAGAAGGTGTTCAATTCAAGTCAATTTTAAGTAAATTTTAATCCAGGTTATGCTAATAGTTCAAATTGTTCTTGTCAGAGAAAGCTAACATTTAACTTATTGGCCTACATGCAATCTGTTGTGCGTGGTCAAAACTAATACCCTAAACCCACCATGGCCAAAGTGAAAAGTAACAGTCTTAGCATCAGAATGTGGCGATGCTATTATTTAGCAGAATCAAGAAAGTTGGTCAAAGTGGCTGTGGAGATGGATAGAGCTTAATACAAGCAGGACAGTAAAGAGGAAGATTTAAATCAAACTTACTTCATGTTTTGGAAAGACCTAGATCTAAATCTAATGGAAATTTTTTTGGCAAGTCTTGGAAGCTCAAATTGACGTAGGAATTCTCAGATGTGCAAATCTGGTTGGGCCAAAGCCCAAAATGATCAGAACTAGCTGTTGCAAGAAATAGTTCTACAAAATAGAAAGAATGGGCCCGAATGCAAATGCAAGCCGCACTTTTTGGAATTTTACTTGAAAGAAAAAAAAAAAAAACAAAGTGAAATCCATCTATAATTTTTTTCCCACACATTTCACAATTATGCACTTCTTTGTGATGGTCGGACATGTAGGAAGTTTATTTACTGAATATTTTAGTTGGTCTGTGACATTTTAGTTGACCAACTTGTATTGTCACAGTTGGTCAATACACAAAAATGTTTAAGGAGTCTATTTGGGTCACTAAACAATGTTCAAGATCAGCTTATGTCAATTTTTGAATGCTTTTCCCATTTCAAGGTCTAAGTTTCTTATCGCTGAGGCATAACAATTAGCCTTGAAAAAAGGCTTGTGGTGTTGAAAGCCTAGATAACACATCTAATCCATTAAGTCCAACTTCAAAGAAAAACATACAGCACTTTTTACTGAAGGTATTGACACACACAAAGTCAATTCTGTTCAGATGAATAGGGCAAAAAATATAAAAATAAGAATGATCCATTCTTTTTGGTTAAAAATACCATGCCGCTGTTATCCAATTGAACCTGCACAACAGATTTCTGCAGACCTTCCAGCCTATTTGATGTTGGCATGTGTAACTTAACTGTATTTTTTATTTTTTTTTCCTGAATGTTGCCCAGAATAATCAAAGCACTTAGCTCAATACAGTTGCTGTTATTGATTTCAGCGTTTTGGTACTTTTGCAAGAATCTAAACATACTCAGAGTCAGATAGTTTGCCAGTTTATCAGGATGTTTTTTGTCATTCTGAGTTTGACTAAAATCTTTTTAAAAGTAATTACCTGAAGAGGTTCTCAGATGTTGACTTTTTTCCCCTTTTGCTCC